ATTCATAATACATCTCCTAACCATCTCGATCGATTTGGCCTCTCTCAACCACCACTTAGTCTTCTCATGATTATTGAGCCTATAAACTTAGGCACCATATTGGTGAAGCTAATCCCACTGTGATTACCACACGAAGACTTGTCTCCCTTCTTGTATATGGGGCTAATCAATGACTTACACCAGCTCAACGGGACTACCTTTGATTTCCGGACGCTGACTAATATCTTAGTTACAGCGGACAGTAAACTCTCCCCACCGTCTTTAAACACCTCTGAAGTCATTTCATCAGGTCCCGCCGCTTTACCTCGTTTCAGACTAGTGACAGCTTCAGTAAACTCAGTTTGGGGCGGATGAAATGTGTTTAGGTTCCCATTCAAGGATGTGTTGGATGCAGGGTTAGTTGAGTGTGACTGTAGGCCAATTAAGTTTTTCCTCAAAATGTTCCTTCCCGCCTTTCAGTCGTCCATCCTGGGAGTTGATTACGATGCCATTTTTCCCAGAGATTGTTTCATTTATCATTTACCTTTTACCACCTATTTACCTGATAACTCTAAATAGTTGTCTAGTTTTACCTATCATCGATGCCTTTTCCGTGTCTTTCGCTTTTGTCACCCACCAATGTTCACTGTCGTTATGAAGGCTTCTTTTTCAGATTGCGTTTTAGCAGCTCTCGCCCCTCATCCTAATCGGAGCTCTCCGAAATCAATCTTCTTGCGTCAATCAGTTCGAATGAGGCGGTAGAAATCCAGTGGCTCTTACTAACTTTAGGTTTCAGGTTATTAACAGTCTTTGCAGCTATGTCTACGGATAACTGTATGTTTTGCCAAGCTTCCTCAGGAGGAGTCTTGCTATCAACCTCAGATACTCGTTTCGCTGTTTCTTCCATATGTAGGGACTTAGTGTCCTGATCAAGTTAGACGGATGGGGGTAACTGCTTCGCTGCTAACAATATTTTATGTCCGTTTAATCGTAAGTATAAACGTGCGCGAACCAGGACATGATCGGAGTCCATCCACGTGTTTCAGAAGGATAGGCAGTCTTCTACTGACCCTCACCACACTCACATAAAATCCCTTAGGCCATAAACTGTCACCGAGAGATGTGATCGAGTTTATACCATCAAAAGAGGAAATAAGCATAAAAGGGTGACCATCAGACAGCTACAGAAATGGATTTAGTGGGACAAGGAAGGTGGGATCGAGGCACAACATGAACTGGCAGAACCCGGAAGGCCGGAGCTGCTTCGTTCAAAACTATTTGATGGGAAGACGAGTGTGGAGACTGCTACCGATAAGATTTATCAGTAGTTGGATTAACTGTATTCTGTCAGTTGGTTGATTTAATTGAGGGGCTTTCCTTATTCCCCTTACAGACAATATCCCCCTTCAGTGCAGGTTTTAGCATAAAATGGAATTATTTCAATATTCCGTGAATGATGTAATTTCATTTCCTGGCAACCGTCTTCATGACTGGATGGTAATTTACGTCTCTATTGATCATATTTTTATTAATTTGGAATTTGAACTTTCTTTTCATGTCATTTTCTTTTTACTAACTGGCAAATTTGGTCTATAACAATGTGTTTGTTAATCACTGGTTGATTCACTTGAGTACCAAGTTTCTAGGAATTCTCTCACTGTAATTTTGATGTTTCTCCTATTTAAAATTTCTACATTATCCCAATCAAACTGGTGTCCATAATTCTCGACATCTCTCGATACAGAAGAATGTGTATCATGTCTTTTCATTGCCAATTTATGTTCTTGGATTCAGATTTGAATGGGACGCCCACTTTGACCAATGTAATGGACGAAAAATGCCTACAAACCATCTTCAAAAAGAATGGATATCTTCACAATTTCGTCAAAATGTGTTTAAACTCTAGTCTCAACACCAACAAGAAACCATCATCAAATGAGTACAAGAAAGTTCATCCTACTATATATATGAAAATAACTGAAAAAAAGCTTAAATATTTGCACCGTTTGAAATAGATATAGCATACTAACCAGTTAATACAATCACTTCATTCGACATTGTGCAACAAACCCAAAGATCCAACAGGAAAAGAAGATAAAATAGATATCATGTACAAAATAAACTGCATGTACAAACTGTGATAAACACTAAATCGATCAAAGTGGGATTCCCCTTCGGATCAGCATTCAAGAACATTAACAGGCTATGAAAATACATGATACATATTCTTTCGAATCAATGCATGAGCATAATTATGGACACCAGTTTGTTTGAGATGATGTACAAATTTTAAATAGGAGAAACATCAAAATTGTAGACAGGCAATTTCTAGAAATTTCATACATTTATTCCCCTTAATGAATTTGAATAAAGCGAGAACTACAGTGGTTTTTGCAGAATAAAATGGCACTATTATTGTCTGTTTCGTTGGCTTCTCATCAGCTGCTTACAAGCCAAAGTCTCTATTAAGTATATTAATATTAAATACTATTCCGAACAATAATGATCATACACAATGGAAACTTTTAGCATTACGTAATCAGATGAAAGAGAGATGAAAATATCCAGTTACCAGACTGGCAAAGAAAGACTGATAACTGTTGCATTCTGAACGCACAAATCAGGTTTCAGGCGCTTCATGGAGATGGCTTCAGCAAACTTGAGGAGAATTGAGCTGTTTTGTCTATTGATAATCTTGAACGATCTTGCGACGTCCACCTCATGACCCCGTGTCAAGGTGATGCCTGGCGATGCCACTGTTTAAAGTATTTGTTCCCTTTAGACGTAAGCTTTTTGGTACATGTTCAGAAAATCGTAGATATGCCCTTCTTTCTATTCTTCCAATTTAACTGCTTCCGCAGATACATGTTAATTTGTAAATATAGTTGGAGTTAACATGAGAAGGATATCTATTTATTTTTGATTGCAACCAACGGCAAGTAGTTCGACAGATGGGGATGAACTTAGCTGCAGGATAGGCTACGGCTAGTGAAGCCATCAGCATCAAAAGCCTGAAACCTGATTTGTGCGTTCAGAATGCAACAGTTAACAGTCTTTCTTTGCCAGTCTGGTAACTGGATATTTTCATCTCTCTTTCATCTGATTGCGTAATACCGAAGGTTTTCATTGTGTATTATCATTATTGATAGAAATAGTTTTGGTTTGCGTTTGGCTTGTAAGCAGATGATGAGAAGCCAACGAAACAGACAATGATGGTGCCATTTTATTCTGCAAAAACCACTGTTGTTCTTGCTTTATTCAAATTCCTAGAAACCTGTTACTCACTCAAGTGAATCAGCCAGCAATTAACAAACGCATTATTTATTATAGACCAAAATTTATCAGCTAATAAAAAGTAAATCAGATGACAAGAGAGTTCAAATTCCAATTCAATAAAAAAAATGATCAATAGAGACGTAAATCAACATCCAGTCACGAAGATGGTTGCCAAGAGATAAAATGACATCATTCACAGAATATCCAAATTATTCCATTTTATGCTAAAACCTGCACTGTAGGGGGATGTGGTCTATAAGAGGGACAACGAAATCTTCGCAATTAAATCAACCAGCTCTGAGAACACAATTAATTCTATTTTGCTTAAATTAGTCCTATAGATGAGAATAAGACTGGTGACGACAGGATTAGTGTTCATTGTGTCAAAATAATACGTGAATTAAGAAATAATAATATAATTCTCAAATCCTAATAATATTTTTTCTATTTGTATATTGACTCAGTTATCTAACTATCAACGGAATCAATTTAAAAGAGGTCATTGCCTTTATACTTACAAAAACGTCAACACATATCAACTACAGGCACACCATGCGAATGATTTTGATGATGTCAAAACCAGAACTAGAAAGTCAAAATAGACCTTCATCAACTCTGAAACCATTTTGGAAATCTTCTCCACTCCTCTGGGGTATAAACTACAAAGTTCCGATTTTTCGCAGAATTTCGGACCAAGAGATAACACCGATTCTCAGAACCAATGTGAATTCAATCATTTCATCTATTATATGGTTCAGAGACTTGGCTCATGAGTTACCAAAAAGCAATTCCAACAGGCTACTGAAGACCTCTCATCAACGCCTAACTTCATATGGAAGACCAGATGGCCAGAAACAGGCGCGATCATTGAACACCTGGTCAATAATGAACCTCTTATGTTCACAGTCTCCGCCTTTAAAGTCACCTGCAAGACGAAAAGTAATTTGACCAAATCACTACATATCTGACTCATCTGCGTTGCTGAAGCTTTGACCATCGATCGAAACAGAAAAGTCATATCTCTGTGTACAGAAAAAGTGCGTTTAACTCCTCCAACTTTCATGATCTTAATCTCTATATACATGCTAAAGTATAGTAATCCTTAATCATATTTTGGCTTTACCAATTTTTACATTTTCATTATCGAATTTGTAAACTCCCATTCATTGAGTAAATTGTTACTATTACTATTCTCACTTTGAACAACTGTCCCTGGTATTGTTTCACTTGCTCCATTTGTCATTCTAAATCAATTCTGTTTTTCAACTAATCCTTAGAAACCAACTATAGAAAATTATTCTGAAGCTTACTAGTGACTTGCTACAAGACGAAGTTTCCTGTAGTTCTAGTGAGAAGTCGTGACCAATGAGGTCCATCCAGATGTAAAGTGTGAGGATAGATGCCCCACCGACGACATTGGTTGGTGGCCGCGCTAAATCATGAATTGGTAGAAGTTAGAATTCATTAGCTGGCTTTTGATTCGGATCTCAGTGGATGAATGGTATACGAGCCAGCTTGCGATGTAACCTGAAGGTCCCTGGGTGCGTACTTCCGATGATTCCCAAACTAGGCTGCTGAAACAGCTGTCTAGCAATACTCCTTGTCAGTTTTCAATGGTTCTCTAACAGATATCAATGCGTGATCAACTCGTACCACTGAAAGATGGTACTGTTGAAGCCTTTATGTTCCACACTTGAAACCCAAGAGAATAATGATAATAATAGTAATAATGAACGATAACTTATTTCTTATTTCAGTATTTTTATTTGGCACCTTAATTCAACGAACAAAACAAATGATAATAATGATAGTAAGTAAGTAAGTAATAATGAGATATAAGGAGAGAGAGAGAGAGAGAGAGGGAGAAATAACTGACCACACTACAATATGCATATATATTAGGTATGTATATATAATTACAACAGACTTATTGTTTATTCAATAACAAGAAAGACAGGGTGTAGAGCACCTCTCACTCTCTCTCTATCTCCCACCACATATGATTGCGTAATAAACTAGAGTGAAACATCACATAACCAGAAATCAACATCAAATTAAAAAATAATAATAATATTAATATTAAATAATCTGGAAATAATGAAACATCACTAACAACAATTAATCTGAAAACAGACAACAAAATAAATGGAGGGGGGTGGACAAGAAAAAGACAGGAAAATATGTTGTATATATCTGTGACCTCATAAACGAAAAAACAAATAAATAAATAAAAATGTTTGTTTGTTATTTTTATATTTAGAAGATATTAGATAGATAGTGAAAAGAAATGTTACTCTCAGTTGTATATGTTTATGTATATATATATGTGTGTGTGTGTCGGGGGAGGGGCGATGAGGTGGGGCGCAGAGCAGGGTGTATCTAGCTAGCTAACTAGCTAGTTAGGGTGGAGGCTTGAAATGAGCTGTGATATAATATATGTATATATATGGATAGAGTGTTAATGTGAATGTTTTGTCATCTATTCGCCATCGTCGGCGATATGCACATCGTCTTCAAAAGAAGCATTGAAATCAATGCATACAGAGAGAGAGAAAGAGGCGAGAAATGGCAAACGGAAGGTGACAGACAACAGATGGTACATGAAAGCACGAATACTGTTCAAAACCGCTATAAAGCAATAATAATAATAATAATTTATCGCATGGAAGATACACAGGAAACAACTACAACTCTTTTAACACGTCAAGTAGTATAAGATTATGAAAGATTAGAGGGTAGTGTAGTGATAATCGAGGGAAACTAACTAAAGTTTATACACAAACATACAAATATATGTATCTGTATACATAACACTCTTAAATATAAGATTACGTATCTATGTATCATCTGTGAAATTAATCAATATCCTGGGAACTCGGTGAAAAAGTTGGTGATAATGACGATGATGATGCTGATGGTGATGATGACGGTGGCGGTGATGGTGGTGGCGATGCTGATCGTGATCGTGGAGCTGATGGAGTTGGAGGTGACAATGTTTCGGGTTGATAACATTCATTCAGCAGATTACTTAATATTTGTATACAGATTTTATTAGCTTTTTGAAATTCTGGACCTAATAGACAAAAATTAAGAAATGCATGTGGTAAATCTTCTAGTACACGAACATCGATTAGGATGTCTAGTTTGGAGACACGTTTTGCCAATTCCAAAGCATCATCCAAGAAGGGATCGAATTGGGAACACTAGAAAGGGGAGACAGACAGAGAAAGAAAAACACAAGAGAAGTCACATATCATAAACATACTTAAAATGTCATTTCTAAAAAATGTTTGCTTGACGACAGTGGCTAACCGTACGGAATCCAAGAGGCACATTTTGTCCAGTTATTTTGTACTTTTCATCTGAAACTACCTTTCCCCATATATCGCCACATTAAACACTAAAGTTTTATCATCCACTAGGTGGTTGTTGGGTTATGAGGGTGATCTCTTTTGTGTGCAACGGATATCCCCGACCGAAGGTTGCTTGCTACCTTGAGATATCTCATTGAAGTAATGGTTTTGTAGGGATTTTGTTTGATAGCATGGAGGATTGCATCATGAGCTGACATCAGTTACAGAACCATTGGAAAACCTGGGAGTACTGGACAGCTGTTTCCCCCGTCCTAGTTCGGGACTCTTCGTCAGTACGCACACTACACTAGATGGAATGGATATTCCTGCAGGTACTGTTGTAACAACAGAAGACAAGGGCCTGCCAAACAGATCGTTTATTTACGAAATCAACACATATTTATAGATTTTCATGTACATTATTACAGATTATTGTTAGCAGATAAACACAGTCTTCTGATTGGTTGTTTCTCGCTGAAAGTTAATCTTTCATCTCTATGTGGCTGTTTCTTGAACGTCAGATCATTTATATGCTAACTGTATCCGCCTACGCTAAGTCTTTGTTCCTATTTTTCTCAAGACCAATATTGGGGACGTATACATTGACGTAAATTGCTGTCTACCAATTTTGGCTCTCACCACACTATCAGGCCAGAAAGGTAGTTCAGAAAATAACGGTTATATTAAAAGTAATCATCATAATAAGAAGTCATATTACTTGCAAAAATACCAAAAAGTCCTCAACAGCTGCTTGGGACTGTCTTCATTAGTGTGCACCAGAGATTCCAACAGGGGTATCGAAACCGGAACCTTCAGATCAAGAGACTACTCATTTTGCTGACGACAGAGGATAAAACAGTCCAGTGAGGTGTCCCCCTCAGATAACTAGCAAATCAGGTATGCTGTTTCTTCGTTTTGATGACGAGAGATACAAAAAGTCGACCGCCGAAATTGTACATCCCGATTTACCTTGCAGCGCAGTCTGTAACCAGTAGTAAGATGAAAAATAGAGGACACAAATCTAAAAACTAATCTTAAATAGACCATGTGTGTGTGACCGGTCTCACACAGTACTTTCTTCAGTTCTGTATTCATGGAACACTGAGAAATCAACTTCCAAGATGAGGGCATTTGGGAAGTAACAAACGCCCTTAGAGTTTCATACGCACGTAAGGCACTTCCAGCAAAAGGTATCAGATGTTATTATATTTTTGATTTCATTTGAATTCCCTGATAATTAACTTGTATTCAACTGACACGCTTGGTTTCTGTTGACATGCTGGCATTTCTATAGTGGACGCTTTGACGATTTTTGATGTAGTCATTTAGTAGATAGCAGTTAGTAGTGGAATCCAGTATTTGTCTTCCTGTTCATTATGACCTATTAAGGCGGGAAATTCACATGAACTGGTAATCAATTCCCGGAGAACCATTGGAAAACCAACTGAGAGTACTGCCAGTTAGCTTTTTCATCCTAGTTTGGGACTCTTCAGCAGTACGCATCCACCGCCAGGGTTCGAACACAGGACCTTCTGGTTACAAGCACAGCGAGCTAGCTTGTAGGCCATTGAATCATTGGGACCCGATTCAATGGTCAGTCCCTGAATTCCAACTTCGACCAATCTACAACATAGTGCGACCATTTCGCAATGTCATTGATGATTAAGTGCCCTCCCCGTTAACCTGCTGTACGCAACTGGTCACGGCTTTCTACAAGAACTCATGGTAACTACCTGAATAGGGCAAATCGTTAGTCAGATTAGATTAATGTGATAAATATACTATTGTACGTTGAGGCATGCAGTGCGATTGCTGAGTGTTTTTTTTCTAAATTACTTATCTTCGCTGGTGGGGTCAATCATTCTAACCTTAGCCAGTAAATCCTTATGTTCTCATAATCTCACTACTCCTGATCTACTAGTTTGACCTATGTGGTTGACTTCACTCACAGTCATTGTAAGGTAATTCTTAAAGTATATATTATTTTGCTTAATCGGGTTAACCAGCTACTTTAGGCTACAAAATTTGTCTTACATTATAATATTATAACAAGCTATTTATTTATTTTACTATAAAAACATCTTATTTCCCATCTTGCTGACTAACAACACTCATCTTAATCTTCATCGTATTATATATTTTATTGACAACATTAATATTCGTTACGAATATGTACTTTATACGTTCCTTTCTGTTCCATCCAAGACTGATATTGATTTTTATTCATACATGCCTAATCATCAATTTTTTACTCATGTATGTAAACGAAGCAAGAAAGTCATGTTAGTGAGTGTCTTGATATGATTATGAGTAGTAGTAGTAGTAGTGTATAAATTGTGCTCGAAACGTTGGTCATCAGTAAATATCACACTGACACTGTATAACAACACTGTATGATTTTATTGAATTTGAGATTTTCCCGTCGATTGATTGGACTGAAGTGCTCGGTCTCACTCAGGTTGACATGTCGGCTTCTTGTACAGATGCTTCGACGATGTCTGGGCATTTAGTTAGTATTTAATTGGTGAATGATGACTAGCAGTGGAATCCAGGATGCGCATTTCGTCCAGACATTGTCGAAGCATCTGCACAAGAAGCCGACATGTCAACCTGAGTGAGACCAAGCACTTCGGTCCAATCAATCGACGGGAAAATCTAAAATTCGATTAAATAATTAATATGACCCGTTGCTTAAGAGGTGGTGGCTCTCGTGGCCCAAGTGGTTTAGTGGATAACACTTTGGCGTTTGAAACTATGGGCATTGGGTTCGAGCCTCGGTGGGAACATCACCACTCACTGTGGAATGCAGGTACATCCAGTTGACGAGTCCCAAATAGGATGAAATGCGCTTTATCCTGGATTCCATTGCTAGTCACCATCCACCAATTAAATACTTTGGGATTTTATCAACAACAAAAGAATTTGTTATCTATAGTGAAACAATATTGTTTTCGCTGTCTTTGGAGCGTTTTGTAATGTTTTGAACGTGTTTCAAGGTAATTTCACATAGTGGGATACAGTAGGATGTAAAGATCAGTTCCTTGCGTCGTGGCACAGTAGTTAGGACTCTCGCCATCCATGCACATGGTCCGAGGTTCGATCCCCTACCAACGCACACCTGATATCTATGGTCGGCCTGCATAATTTGGGCTATCGATATCCATGCTGAAAATTCCATACTTGTACCAAAAATACAGTGTGAAATCAAGCTGTAATCAAAAATCAAATAAATACCACAACAACAACTCTCATCCGTTAACTGTTAAGGCAGGCTTAGTTAAGTGTCTAGCAAACCCAGCCATAGCACTAAGTAGCACAAAAAAGACCTAAATGATGAAATAAAACAGATAGAAGAGGCGTTGGTGTTGAGTAACTATCCTTTACAATTCACTAGGAAGATCGAAGAAGGCCAAAAGCAAAGTAAAAATAATCGTGAAACTAATAATGATAAAATAAATAAGAGAGAGAATAAAAGGCGTCTACTGTTATACCATATAAGGAGGGGACATCTGAGACCACCCCACGTAGGATTCTAAATAAAGCAGGAATTAGAGTGGCATTCAAACCTACAAACTGATTCAGAGTCAAGCTTCGTAGGCCAAATGACCGGTGGACCCAATTAAACAAAATTATATAATTTACAAAATAACCTGCAATGACTGTGAGCTATGTCAACTACATTGGTCAAACTAGTAGGTCGGGGGTAATCAGATTGTCGGAACATAAGAATTTAGCTGAGGTAGGAATGGTTGACCGCAACCTCGAGAAATAATTTAGGAAAAAGCTCAGCAATTACACTTCACGCATTAACACAAAACCGCACAATAGGGTGATGGGAGAGGGTTAAAATTCTAAGAAGTAATCTAGGTAGGTGGAGAGAGAGATAGATTGATTACTGAATCCTGACTGGTTCATCGAGTCTACACCAACACAACACATCCAACAGAAATGACTCAACGCAAATACCAGAGATATGCATGGAAGATATTATTACCACCAGTCAGTCAGTCAAATCAGAGGAGGATAATAAATAATCTTAAAATTCTATTTCAATTCAATTCAAGTGCATCACAATATTCTAACAAGTTACTTATTTATTATGACTATAAAAACACTCGTCTTATTTCTCATTTGAGTGTGATTGATCAATAACACTCATATTATTATTTCTGAATGTAAATTATCTCACAATGATTTTTATTGAGATATCTAAACATCAATTCCACACATGTATATAAATGAAGGAAAAAGTTGTGTGAGTGAGTGAGTGACTTGATATGATTGTGAGTGGCAATAGTTTGTGCTGGAAACATGGTCATCAGTTAATATTACTGTATAACAACACTATGTGATTTATCAAAATAAAATCTCATCCATAATGGAACAACAAGTCAGTTTTAATCGTTACAACATCGTCGATACACACAAAAGAAAAAAATCAAAAAGTTTGAAGCTGTGTGCTTCACTTGAAACGTTAGGAATGAAAAAAAGAAAGAACAACTGAATATGAATTAAGTTTACACGTAAAGAATTATACGGAAATTAACAGCTGTCTTCGCTCAATACTACTCAAGATCAGATGGCTGGCCAGAAAAGATCAGTAACAGGGATCTCTGCCAATGAGCAAACCAACCCAGCAGGAACCGATTATGCAGCGAATATGCAGGAAGAAATGGAGATGGATTGGCCATACTCTAAGGAAACCATTAAGTGACATCACTAGAAAAGCCATCCCTCGAGTGGAACCCGAAAGGGAAGTGGCGAGTTGATCGTCAGAGCAAGGCTGACTTGGAGGAAGTCATGTGAAGCGGAGATGAAAGGATGTAGGCAGACTTGGAGCTAGGTAAAAACTCTAGCAGAAAACCGAAAGCAATGGAGACACGCGGCTGAAGCCCTATATTCCTCTAGGAATTAAAGGAAATAATAATAATAAACTTACAACAATAGCCATAGGTGGTAGTTTCCGTAGCATATCATCTGACGCCAAATACGGAGACATATAGGCATCTTGAGATAGGGGATATTTCGAACACGATTTAAATCTGTAGGCGGTCGACACGGCAGATGATTATTGCCAGCAGAGTGTCTCTCGTCAGTAGAACAATCATTAGAAGAGTAGTGTAAACTCTCTTGAGGTAGATAATAATTTCCTGGTGCTGTACTACCACTTGATGGATTCGAACTGTAACTGTGTGATTCTATAGAGAAACAGAAAGAATAAAATAAGAATACAGTTAGACAAATTAATAACTCAGTGTTATCTACACACACACACACACCTAGTTTTGCCTAATTTAGCTTAAAACCTTAAAAATAACTATTTAAGGGGTCATCGCGCACTGGCGTGAGAGCTCTGTTTGGGTTGCTTGATTCCTATTGGCTGTTAATACTTTGAATGCATCACCAGATTACTGAATTTCAAGGTCATCCCTACTGTTTATATACAGAGTTTCTGTTCAGCATTTTGATTCTTATTTAAGACAGTAAAAGCTCTTTTATTCGACGTCCAGTCTTTTCTTTTGTCTGTGTATGTTGTTGTTGACGTCCGGTTAGGAGAGATTAGCCAATGCATTAAGTCAGTATTCGCTCATATTCCGCTAGGTCGTAGTTTGAGTCGTAACACTGAGCTAATCGGTAAGTGATCGCATCGAGAGGAAATGGAAACCCTTTCAGAAGTCGTGGAAGTAGATTAAAGTGAAAACAGAGAACCTACGGCAAATGAGAAGTGTTAGTAGTGTGACTCTATATTCCACTCGGAAGGCAAACAATGAATGAATAATATAAAATTAATATACTTCACCATCAATTAATAATGTTCTCTGAGCTGGTTGGTTTAGTTACGGAGCTTTCGTTGCCTTTCTGGACAACATCTTCAGCGCAATATTTAGCATAAACTGAACTGATTTAAATTTTCCATGATTGATAGAATTGCGTCTCCCGGTAACCATCTTTACGTATGTAGTGATCATTTTCTACTGACTTAGATTTTAAACTTCCTGCTCACCTGATTTACTTTTTATTAGCTGGTGGTATACTTGGTCTATATCAATGTGTTTGTTAATCGAATATTCGCTTGAGTACTAGGCTTCTAGGAATTCCCTGACAGCACTTTTGGTATTTCCTCTGTTTAAGATTTCAACATTATCCCACCAGCATTGTTAAGTCCCTCGAAAAGAATACAGAGGATTTTAACACATCAAAGCAAGATTCTACTCGACGCTTCATTGTTTATGTTACAGCTTCTTCATCAGAATTATTGTTACCATGATTCCCAATAAACAACCTAGTAAGGTCGAGAGTGGGTACACTTTGGCCTTGTTTACAAAATGCTGTGATGTGACCACATGCTTTCAGAGCCTTGTCATCAAGGCAACAGGGATAGATACACACAGAGGAGGCGAAATCAGGTAGTTTGTCACTATTTCTTGGATGAAAAATAGGCGTAGTAGTGACGAGATAATGTATCTCTGCTGCACTGAAAGCTCTTTATTTTTACCACATCTTAAAGACAGTGAGCATAAAGGCGATATGTTAATACAGCATTTTAAGTCATTTATCGCATTCCAATAGTTGAAGTTATCGGAATCGCACTGAAGAAGTTAAGCCTGTATGTTCAGAAGAGATTTGTACAGCTACTTTCTTTACCTTGGCCATGAATTATATGAGTTTATAAACCTGACACTACTTCGCTTTCCTCCTAAGCCTTTTAAAAATTATAATTGTCTAAATTATTTTATTCTAAGATGAAAGAGCTATCTGGCAGTACTCCCTGGTTTTCAATGGTTCTCTAACTGATATCAATCCGTGGTCAAACTCGTATAAACAAATCTAATCCTAACAAACCAAACCCTTGAAAATTAATCTGATGCTGCTCGCTAGTGACTTGTTACAGGATGGAAGTTTCCTGGAGTTCTAATGAGAAGTCGTGACCAGTGAGGTCCATACATTCAAGTGTGAGGATGCATTTCCCACCGATCACATTGGTTTGTGGTCGCACTAAAGTCAAGAATTGGTGGAGGTTAGAATTCATGGGCTGGCCACTGAATCGGATGAATGGTATACGAGCCAGCTTTTCTTGTAACCGGAAGGTCCTGGGTTCGAACTGTGGTGGTGGGTGCGTACTGCCAATGATTCCCAAACTAGGATGAAACATCTGGCTAGCAGTACTCCCTGGTTTTCAATGCTTCTCTAAATTATATCAACCCGTTGTCAAATTCGTATAAACAAATCTAATCCTTACAAACTAAACTCTTGAAATATATTTTATTTCTCTTTAATTACTCATTACGTAACCGACCCAAACACTCGCTTATATTCCTTGATTACTTTCCATTTTTCTAAAAATTATCCATTATGCAATCCACTTGTTACAACCATTTCTATCCTTTAATTGCGTGTATTAATTTTCTTCGTTAATTATCACCACCATTGACATGTTGATACTGACTAATTATTGTTAACAAACACATATCAGTGCCATTTGATTGGTAAAATGTTGTGTATTGTAATAAAAATACCATAAATATTAAAGTAGAACTAGAGATGAGAATCATAACTGAAAATAACAGACGAAATAGTTAATTGCGACAGCAATCAACCAACATCGCATCCAAAAGCAGTTGCATACAAAAAGAAATCATTCAAAAGAGCCAGGACACACTTCAGCACTCCTGTCTTGACGAGAGTGGAAAAGAATTATCGCATGAATGTGTTGCCCCCAATCCCCCCCCCAAAATAAATGGATATACACAAAAGCTTATCAAAAAAATCCCTACCATCAACTGGTCGAAGAAGCAGCCGGCGAAGACAGGACTCCAGGTGAACATACACAAGACGGAGGTTACGAAAATAACCAAAAACAACAACAGCAACATTAATTTTAATTTTTAATTTTTGATAACAGCTTGATTCCACACTGTATTTTTGGTACAAGTATGGAATTTACAGCGTGGATATCGGTAGCCCAAATTTCCCAGGCCGACCATAGATATCTGGTGTGCGCCGGTGTGGGTTTGAACCCCGGACCATGTGCATGGTCGTCGAGAGTCCTAACCACTGTGCCACCGACGCCAGCGCCAATCATCATCAAGGGGAGGGATTTGAAAGAGGTTACTTTATTCACTTATCCACGGAGCATTGTCTCAACTACAGGATGTCGGAACGGATGAGAATGTCAAATCGAGCGAGAATCGGGAAGGCGAGAAACACATTCATCATCCAGACAGACAGACATTCATCAACCTGAAACAACCAATCTGGAAATCTTCGTCACTCAGCCAGAATCAACAACAGAATTCGGTCGGATTTCCAATACAAACGTCAAGTCAGTCAGTTCTTCTATACGGATCAGAAAGTTGGCGGGTGGGTCACAAAGAATATTTCCAATAGCCTATTGCAGACCTTTATCAAGAACTAACTGTCTTCGCTCTATACTGAAGATCAGATGGTCGGGCTGGAAAGAATCACCAACAAGAAACTATGGGAACAAACAAACAAACACAACAAGAACCAATCGCCAACCAACAAATATGCAGGAGAAAGTGGAGATGGATTGGATACTTCCTGAGGAGGCCACCGCTGGGTGACATCGCGCGCGCGTCAGGCCATTGTTCGAGTGGAACCAGGCCGAAAGGGAAGCACGCGGTGATTGGGACGTCAGTGTAAGGGTGACATGGAGGAGATTGTGTGAAGAGGAGTTGAAGCAGTCAGTATGGACTAACACAGATGCAGGTGGAAAACTACAGCAGAAGACAAAAGCAAGTGGAGACGTGCAGTTGAAGCCCTATGTTCCACTAGGAACCCAAGGGAACAATAACAATAATAATAACCATCAACTTGATTGATCAACTCAAAATCACTCAATTACGCATTTAGAAACACAAACTGTCTGCCAAAAACTAAATAATAACAAAAAAGAAAAATTAATAATGATATCCATTCCTTCATATCACCAACCAATCAACCATTGCTAACAGACTTTGGACACCCAATTCAATTGGGAAATTGTACAAATCTTAGTTAGATAGATAAAGGACACAGTCAAAAAATGTCTGAAAATTATTAGAAACTCAGTAGTACACAGACGCATATCTACAAAGGTCACATTAAAGAATGTCACATGAATCAATAAAAGTCATAGTCCAAGTCAATAAAAACAATCAATACTAATGCAAATTAATAAACCAGTCAACAACAAGTGCATCAATTACACAATAAATAAAAAATGGCTGAAAAGTCAGTTATCTTTGCTGAGCTGCTTTCTGAGCATTTTTCTCCCCCTGATGATATCATTCAATAAGCATTCACATAAAAACTCATTTCATATTGAAGTTTACGCCCCTCCACACACCTCTTGAAATGCTCCCATATGACCGGGCGTCTCATATAGCCTCTCCTGAGGAAGTCCTACTCACTGCCTTCACGTGGCCGAGGTGTTTATTTCACCGAAGTGAGGGGGCAAAAGCGGATGCCCGGCGCTCTTCACCGAGTTGACTGTCCATTGGATGACAGTCTAGGGGAGATGGCTAAACCCTGATTCCAAACCTCCAACGACTGGTGTATGAAGCTCACCGGCAGACGTATGGACAAAGGGCTTATTGGATGCCCTGGATGTCTGGCCCCATTCAAAAAGGCGTATGAACCGGACTCCGGTCACCGGCTGCCAATGGATAGTGGACTCCCTACTCCACTCCTACTGCCTTGTAGGTCACACTTGGTTGTGTGAAGGCTAGAGCTGCACTCTCAAATAAAAGGCCGAGCGATGCTGGGGACATCACTCGTACCTAATTCCCATGAAACTTCATGAACTCTCTTGATGTTCATGAAGCCGGCTCATCCTCCCGTAGGAGATAGCCGAAGTAAAGTAAAGTAAGTAAGTGCTGAAGGTCTAGAAATGATAATGATAGCTTAGCAACAGAACCATCCACGCATCCACTCCCAACCTCAGACAACGCAATCATAACAAAATCATCCATCTGAAGTACAAACCTTCCCCCAACATATTCAAGACATTTTTGGATATTGAAGTGCATTGATGATTGGTCCCTAGAAGGTCATCCAGTCTTACCATCAGTTTGTTTGCAAGGATATGATTTGTTTCAATTTTAACTACGGATTGATATCATTTAAGAGAACGATTGAAAGCATCAAAGAGTACTGCCAGACAGCCATTTCGTCCTAGTTTAGAACTCACCGACAGTACGCACCGCCTACCACCGGGATTTGAAAACCAGGACCTTCCAGATACAAGTCAAGCTTGTAAACCACTCCCCAGTCACTGGGAACCCAATCAATGGCGAATCCATGAATTCTAACCCCTTCCAACTTTTGATCTAAGCGCAACCACCAACTAATATCATCGGAGAGTATGTTTCCCGACTCTTGCATTATTATTATTATTATTATTATTATTATTTAAACGCAAAAAAAAACTTGGTACAATATGGCACCAAGAAAGATGCGCCACACAATAATAATAAAACAACATAGATTAAAAAAAAGGAAGGAAGGAAAAGAATAAATATATATAAGTAGAGAACGGATAAAGAACTTCATCTGGAAGGAAAACAGTCATGCTTAACGAGTTCAAACAGTATTCGTTAACTATCATCGGGAAGGGAAGAAAGAAGGAAATTGCATCACGTTCGCCATTGATTACGATTCTTGGTTATATCCGACAACGTTTCGGGCCATCGATTTGAGCTATCTCGCGGACCCAAACCAGGGAGTCGTGACGCACCAACCGATGCTAATCTAGCCCAAAACTCCTTCATCCCACGACTCCACGTCATGGACTGACCACCCCTCCGCCTTTTCCATCCCGTCCCAGGGCTGGCTGACAAACAAAGACCTGTACGGAAGCCTCTCGGATGACATTCTCAGCACATGTCCAAGCCACTGGAGCCGGTGTTTCCAGATGACGACACTCGATGAATGGTGATCTCCACTGTGTTCAAACACACGCCGCCGAACCTCAGAATTACTCACGCGATGATATCATCGAACGCAAGCAATCCTGCGGAGACGGCGATGATCGAACACGCAGAGTCGCCGCACATCCTCAACCTGCTCGGAGAGGCCAGGTTTCACAGGCGTAGAGAAAGACAGCCTGCACCGAAGCAATGTATGCCCAACCTTTGACAGCCAGGTTAACGTCGCGACGGCGCCAGAGGTGGATCAAGTTGATATATGCCACCCTAGCCTCCACTGGTCACGACTTCCACCCACCCTAGAACTCCAGGCGACTTCGTCCTGCGCAGCCAATCACTAGCAAGCATCACATTATTTTTTCTAAGAGTCGGTATGTAGGAACTTGATTTGTTTTAAGTTCTATCACGGATTGATGTCAGTTAAAGAATCATGGAAAGCCATCAGGGATTACTGGACAACTATTTTGTCCTAGTATGGGACTCATCGGCAGTACACACCCAGTATATGATGTCTACAGTCTCTGAGGTTGTGTGTTAGCTGAATTCTATCGGTCAAGTTTGCTATATGCATCACCAAGATAGGCGATTCGCTAATTTGGTTAGGGTTAAATGGATGGAGACGATTGGTAGGAAGCCATGAACTAAGGTTTAGTGCTTACTGAAGACACTTATCACCAAGGAACTGATATCCCCTTTGAGATTGGAACCCACGTCATTCATTTATAAATAATGTTTGCTAGGAGATTACAGAATGACACTTTGTACAGAATATGATGGTACCATCATTGTCTATTTCGTTGGTTTCTCATCAGCTACCTACAGCCTAAGGAAATCATTATTAAGTTCATGTACAGAACAACTTTAACATTCTTGCACATGCTCAGAAAATTACATTTTGATAGTTTCATAGGGTCAGGATAATATGCTTTACAGACAAGTTAGAGGAAGAATTTATGATTCCTCAAAATATGTCGAAAAAACAACAGTTATCCTTATAGATGTGAAGGCTTAGATGTCAAACAAATCACAGTGGAAAAAAGCAGTCTATCTTCATTCTAATCGATTTTAAAGGTGATAATAATGCAGGAATAGTTAAGAGAATATTGAATATCTCATTAGCCAGAAACTATCCTCCAGCTAAGTTGTTCCCCGTTCATCAGACAATATACTCTTTGGTAAAATCAAATTGCCTTTCTCATGTTAACTATAACTGTATACACAAATTTGCATACGTTTGTGGTAGCAGTTAACAACACAAGCAACAATAAGCGTGAATGGGAGGAACCTGAAAGAAACAACCTCCTTCACCTACCTGAGAAGCATCGTTTCAACTACAGCCAGGCGGAACTGACGAGGACATCAAAGCCAGAATCGGAAAAGCAAGACAAGCTTTCATTACTCTCAAGTCTGTGTGGAGGTCAACAGCACTCAGTATCAAAAATAACATCCGGATTTTCAACTCCAATGTGAAGTCAGTGCTACTCACTATACGGATCAGACTTGGCGCGTCATGAAGAGCACCTCAAACAAACTACGGACGTTCATTAACAGTTGTCTTCTCTCAATACTCAAGATCAGATGGTCGACCAGAAAAGATCAGCAACAAGGACTTCTGGGAGCGAACCAACTAGGAACCGATTGTGAAACAAATAGGCAAGAAGAAATGGATGTGGATTGGCCATACTCTGAGAAAACAAACCGTCAAGTGGCATCACTAGACAAGCCGTTGCTCGAGTGGAACCCGAAAGGGAAGTGGCGAGTTGGTCGTTCAAGGGTGACTTGGACGAGGTCATGTGAAGAGGAGATGAAAGCATGTGGGCAGACTTGGAGTCAGATGAAAACTCTACCAGAGAACGGAACGCAATGGAGACGCATGGATGAAGCTTTATGTTCCTCTAGGAATAAAAGGAAATAATAATAATACACGAATTCGCATGCATTTGTGGTAGCAGTTACAATGGAAGAACAGGAAAATGGGCACATCTCCGATTTTCTCAACATGTACCAAAATGCTTACGTCTCAAGGGGACAAATGCTTTAAATAATGCTGTTCCCTGACATCCCATGAATAGACGTAATGAAGTGGGTATTGCAAAATCTCTTAAAATTATCAATAAGCAAAATAGCTCAATTCTCCTCAGGTTTGACGACTGCTTCAGTCACCATCATCAAACTCCTAAAACCCAATTTATGCGTTCAGAATGAAGGAGTTACCAGGCTTTACTTGACATGGTAACTGGATGTCTTTATTTCCTATTTCATTTGATTACGTAATTTTTGTCTTTAACCTCTCCCTATTATTGCTACAGTGTTACTTTGCTTGTCTCTTGTTTTTGTGGCATGAGTTGAACTCACAACACTGTTCTTACTCAATTTATTACTTACTCACCATCATCTTACAACTTGTCCATATTACTTAATTCTCTAACTGTTGTGTGCAAACATGCATTTTTGTTTACACTTGAACTCTCTGAATGGAAACCGCATAGGCACGAATCTGACCTAAACAAACTGGTTACCACTCACACGAGGTGTGCAACATAGATGACACTGAAATACACACCAAGTCGGAAATCATATATCTAGACGTCATTCTATCTGCTGATCGTTCCTGGTCGTCTCATATCTTGATGATTTCGAAGAAAATATTCCGTCCTACCTTCTTCTACATCAAGAAGTTAAGACATTCTGGAATGACCCAACCCTAACTCTTACGATTCGTTAACTCTTGCATCCTGCCTGTTATTCTCTATTGTTCCTCCCTACCTTAGTTTTTCCAGGACTACTGAAGAAGGACTATAATAATAATAATCACTTTATTCCACAACAATAACAATTTACGGCATGGAATTTTCATATTGCAATGGTTTAGCTCTGTTTATAATTATATAAATGTATAATTTGTGTCGTGAATTGGCAGAAGTTTTATATTTTGTAGTACGAGCATAAATGTTTATGAAATTTCTTTTAGTCTTACCTGAAGAGATACAAGGAAACAATTGTGAATAAAGAGGATGTTCATTATCAGATAAGATAACTTTGGCTAAGTGTTTACAAGAATTCATATGCCTATTGACAACAGTGTCATTTAGTTGAGTCAAAGGGATAGCACTGACCCTACTTACAGCCTTCAATGTTCTTCGTAGTATTATATGGTCTTTCTTGAGTAGCCCAGGGAAGAATAATGGAGAACAATGTATATATCTTATTACGTAGGATGCTGAAGGTTGTCAGCACGCTGAGCAGCATGCCACTCAACCAGCTTGTTAATATTCTGGTCGACAGGCACTTCGACTCATGTGAAAAATGGGCTAAATCCATTCTATCTATCTAACTCACACCACCCTCTTCATTCACAACTCTCCCCTTGTATCTCATCAAGCCAGACCAGACCAGAAGCCTATATAGAAAACTATATGCTCGCACTAGCAAGTACAAAAAAATCAACCATACCCTACTTAGCTCGTGTTGTGTGCGATAAAGAAAGCATCAAGCGTGAAACTTAAAACTTATTAAATAGTCTGTAGAACAACTGGATCTCTTCTTTCCAACTCATATCATTTATAGGTACAACGTTTTCTTTCTTTCTTTTCCTTTTCTTTCTCTTTTTTTCTGTTATGTGCTGCTTTGTTTCTTTCTTCCTTACAAACTCTATGCAAAACATTCTCCTTCGTTCTTTCACACTCTGTATATCTCGGCCTTTTTGTTACCACTTAAGGCAGTAAATATGCTAGTAGTATCTACTTTTCTAACACCTTCATCAAACCCTCTGTTCACTTTTGGCTTTGTTACAGATATGCCAAAATGTTGTTGTCAAAACTAACTGAGATTACGCATAATCTATGCAGAATTTTATTTATTGATAATGTACTAACTGGATGCAATACTGTATGTAGTGAAATGCTGAGAATTCCATTCTGTATCACAAGTACTATTTTGGAATAAAGCAAATTATTACTACATAAGTGTAATTTTTTGTAAGTATTGAGTTTGGAGCCTCCTATCAGTGGACATCATGTAAAATGTGCGAGAATGTTAAGGCTGTTGTGTACATAGACTTAATAATAATTTCTTTAGGCTGTAAGCGGCAGTTGATGAGATATAAGCCAACGAAATTAAACAGTGATTGTATCATCTTAATCCGCTTGCTCAAATCAAATTCATTAAAGGGGAATAAATTTTTGAAACTACAGAATATTTAAATTTAAAATGAGAAATAAATAATTAAGTAAAAAGGAAGACATACTCACCTGATTCGTTCAACTTTGAAAGTTTACGATAAGTGTTAGGATTGGTCAGTGGTGTTAACGAATGAGATCGTTGACTCAACAACGATCGACTACACGGTATAGAATGATCTCTGTGATTTCGAAAGTGTACTTTAGCAGCATTTGAAGATCTGTGTAAACGAGAGGATTTATTCGTATTAATGCCTGAGTCTATGTCAACAACTTCTTCTTCTTCTTCGCCTTTAGATGTACCACCATACCATAGTCTAGAGGCTAAACGTGACCATAATGGACTGTTGTTTGGTGAGTTTTCTTTACTTTCAAGATTTGTTGAATTGTCAACAATTTTGGCATCAAGACAAGAACAAGAAGAAGTGTCTTCAAGATTTAAAGTGGCTTCATCAACCCCAGCGTAGGCTACAAACAGTAAAGAAAAAAAGGAAGAGAAATGGATTACGGTAGAAAATTGGTTTAAAAATAAATAAATAAAATGATATAAAGGCATTTGTCAAGACCATTCAGAAGGGGAAAAAACGAAGAAACTGAAGCATGTTGACCATTAATGACTATTCTCTCTCACATTTGATAACGTCTCCCGGTCAGTCACTGACTAGAACTATCTCTCCCTGACTCTACTCAGAGTGTCATGGTGTACACATCTATTGACGCTAACGCAACACGACTATCCTTTATTCCACGGTGCTAAATCATAGCCTGACCATCCGTCCGTTTGTTTTGAACACCCATCAGTCCCAGAGTTAGCAAACGACCAGCGGTGTGGAAGCCATCAGTACCACATATCAAAGCCGGTATCACAGGATGACAACGCTTAATGGAAGACAATCTCTACAGGGTTGAAACACATGCTTCCTGACCTCAGAAATACTCACATCATTATATCATCAGATGCACGGATTTCTACGCAGACAGAGGTGATTGAACATCCAGAGTCACTGCACATCCATAGCTCGGAGAAGCTAAGTTTCACAGATGTAGAGCGAAGCTACGCTCACTGAAGCAATTTAAACCTGACTTTTGACAACCACACTAATATCCTAGGGAACCACAGGTGGTCCAGGTTGGCGCATACCACCATGGCTTTTACTATATGGTTACTGGTCTCATCCCTCATATCTCCTCCGCCAGCATTCACACAACTACCTAAATACACAAACTTATCGACAACTTCAAGCGGTTCACCTGCCAGAGTGAGTGAGTGTAGGTACAGGCTCCTGCTAATCCTGCAATAATAGTTAGCAGTGAGATACCGCAAAGCACACACCATAATTACAGATACTGATCGCCAACTGGTTGTTAAATGAGATTTAGGCAGCCTGTATTTTATTGCACAGTTAAACAATATCGTGTACATACTCTACAGGCTGAAAAGTCTTTCTCCGAGATGCAGATCTACGCCACCACCAAAAATACCCTCTGGGACAGTGATGAGGGTATACAACCAGTGATATCCAAGTTTCCTGAAGTTACAGTAGCGGTAATGTGGCTGTGTTTCTTATCCAACCTTCCCCCTTTTCCGGACTCACTACCGGGGCTGGTAAAACAGTTGAGGTTTAGGAGTACGTCGGTAGCCGGCACTAGAACCTAGACAACGTGGATACTTGGCAAGAATTCAGGCAATAAACAACAAACCCACAATACAAAGTATGTCCCTCTGGTCTATTCCAAAAGAATTTTTAAAATATATCCAATAACACGCTGACACTTACCTAATAAACACTTAGAAAGCACTCCAATCGGTAGTAAAGGATCACACAAAGATAATAATCTCGATGGTGATGGTGTAAGAGACACTAATACAGGTGTATAGGCTAAAAATAAGCCAGCAGGACTGTCAAGTATACCGTCGTGCAAGGCACGCATACATACACCTAAGGCTAGATTACCACCAGCTGAATCACCGCCAAGAACAATACGTGCATCCGGTGTACAGCCAAAATGTTCACGATTCAACGCAACCCAACAATAAGCATAATAACAATCTTCTAATGCACGAGGATAAGGCGCTTCAGGTGCAAGGGAATAGTCAACCGCTAGAATTGGACAGTCTAATTGTTCAGCCCATATACGTAGGAAATTCTACAATAAGAAGAAGAAGAAAAACGAGAGGGGGAAATGAATATACATATTAGTAGAAAAGCATCTGAATACATACCAAAAATGGTCTAAAACCACCAACACCCCCTCTATTCCCAACTCTCTCCTTGTATCTCATCAGGTAGAACCAGAAATCAGTATAAAATAATATATATGCTCGTACAACCAATTATAGGAACTCAACGATACCATATTTGACCAGCCTGTGTTCTAAGTGAGACAGAGACAATGTTGAGCGCAAAACCTATGACTTGCTATCTTGTTAATAACATAATTTTGGCACTCACTTTTATTTCTCTCTTATTTGTATTCTATAGTGAACACCTTCCTAAACATACTTAGCTACCTAAATTATTAACATTGGCTTACCTTTTTTTGTACTTTACTCTATTCCCTCTTTTGTATATCTACTGGTCCCGACTATATTAGCACTATGAGTATTAGAAAATTGTCTTGTCATTAACCTTCACGTAATATTAGTTTTGTGGTTGTTTTTTTGATCGGCAGTATTAACTGACAATCTTGGTTGTCAATGCCATTATTACCATCCTAAAATTTTTGTATTATGCAGGATTACTCACACTACCACTACAAACACCGCGTTACAGCTGACAATAAAAAAACACCCCGAAATGTTTATTTTATGATTGTTTAGTGTTGTTCAATCAAATTAACTGATCATCTTGGCTACAAACATTCTAAAATATCATTTTCATAACTTCTTGTATGATTATAGCTGTTACTCTTCACCACGCATAACCGTATCGTAGTTTCCACTACCTAAATACTGAGATATTATTTATCATTGTTGTTTATTTTCCTTTCTACTTCTTGGTATTTTTTGCATTTTTTGTTTTTTCTTTTTTGTTGTTGTTTTTATATTTATTTTTTGAAATACTTCTAAATGTGTAATGAAATTAGATGCAATATTGTAGATATGTGCTGAAAATTCCACACTGTACCACTAGTACTGTTTCTGGAATAAAGCAAATTATTATTATTATTATTATTATTATTATTATTATTATTATTATTATTCATATACCTACATAAACACGACATATAGAAAATAATTACAAAAATTATCTCATTAAACACAGCTTGTTAAATACACAAGCGTAGCTTATACCTTCCAGTGTTTAAGTTAGTTTGTATTTTCAAGAGCTGGTCTGTTGCATTTGACTTCTTTCAAGCTCAATCACAAACTGTTAGAGAACCATTGAAAAACATGGAGCAGTGGACAGCTAGTTGTCTTTTGCCCTGGCTTGAGACTCTTCAACAATAAGCACCCACGATTCCCTTCTATCAGGGATCGAACCCGAAACCTTGCATATTAATAGACTACTAAGCCTGCCGACCATTTTAACAGCAATTTGGGCCGGAACACTTACCTCTGTCACTTCGTTATTATAGCATGATGGCTGGTGAAAGAAGTCATGACCAGTGAGGTCGATCACAGGTAGCGGGTGTGAGGGACAAATAATCACCGATGACAGTGATTGGCGGTCACACTAAAACCGCATATCTTGTGCATTCCATTGATTGATTGACTAACTGATTGACATGAGTAGTTGAATACCACTCATGTGAACTGGTGGCACTTGCCAGTCAGGCAGATGAAAGTGATTTAAACACCCGATAGCCTATCCCATAGTTTGTAGTTGAACTTATCATCAATGTACCCGGCTGAACTTAACAAAGAGTCAAATCAGTTCGAACTATTCATTAATTAATCTCAGTAGTAGGTAGCACGGTGTATTTGCGCTTTCTTTCTTGATTTTCACTTATGGTATTCAAGCAGATTGAATATTCTGTGATCTGAATAATTTCGGGTTCTGAAGTAAAAACTGTAATGAAATTCCACCTCAAACTGTGTAATTACTAAAAATTGCGAATTTGGTTCATATCCTTGAACGAAAATTATCCGTATCTGTTGGTATGTCGACAACAACAAGTACGGACTTTTCAACGATGTATTTTCGTTAACATGATGTAATTTCGTTAACGGTGGCTAGCACTGGAATCCAAGACTCGTTATAACTGTAAGTGCCTCCAATCCCAGAGAATTGAACACAAATAACAGCCAATATCTGTTGTACAAAAGATGTCTCATGTCACCCAGAGGATAACACTTCTATGTTTAAAAAGATCAGTGTGTTGAGTTTGACTTTCAGTGGGAAAACACAGTCACCTGCTGCGTTGGATATACAAGTACAGCATACCCAGATGAGTCTTCCCAAATAGAACAGAATGTGGATAGCGTTATTGGAAGACGCAGATTATCTGAAAACATATGTGATGTATTTGCGCTATACATTTCAAACAATTTGACCACACATTTACTTGTCAAATCAATATATATATGGAAAAGTTGATTAAACAAAGTGACAAAAAAGAATTAAGAATAATTAACACAACGTTTGGTAATTCAATCAAATAAGGATTACCAAGGTAGTAGCTTAATAGGAAAAATAAACTGTTTTTGAATACACAGGGAGGGGCCATGCGTAGCTATAGTCTCGGCGTATTTCAATAAGCGCGCTTGATCGTTTTCATAGATGACCTTAAAGGCTGTGTTAACATCAATCTTATGGTTCATCTCGATTAGATGTTTAGCTATAAACGAAGCTGGTAGTCTGACACCTGCATCTATGGGTTTTTCACAATTCATTTGTTTTTCTAGCCATTTTGGGATATGCTCTCCTACTCTCACAGGCAAAGCACGATTACTCATCCCTGTGTATGTGTGTCCACACACACACATGAAAATTGGTAAATAATGTGGAATGTGATATAAGCACTTATGCACTTTTGAGGTTTGCAGTGGAGCATATTTTTAGCCTTTTTGACAATTACAAGCTGGGCTGCATAATAGGTTCTACGGATGATCGAATTCAACCTTTGTCTCAAAATCCTACTGTTTATTTCCCCGTTACATGGTAATTTGATGAAGACATTTTTCTTAGGGGCAGTATAGATTGTAGGTTGAGAGACTAATTGACTTCTATACCTGTTTAGAAATTTTTTAAGGATATCCATTTTCAACAAGAGTATCCATCAATATTTCGTTTTCTTTGTCTATAGTATCAGCCGTACAAATACGTTGAATCCTCTCAAATAGACATTTCACCAAGCCTCTCTTATACTGTAATGGACAGAAAATGGGAAAATTATTTTATTTTTTTTTTTATTTTTGATTTACAGCTTGATTCCACACTGTATTTTTGGTACAAGTATGGAATTTTCAGCATGGATATCGGTAGCCCAAATTTTGCAGGCCGACCATAGATATCAGGTGTGCGCCGGTGTGGGCTCGAACCCCGGACCATGTGCATGGTCGGCGAGAGTCCTAACCACTGTGCCATCGACCCTGTCTAAGTGGGCTTTCTGAAGATTGATCGTCTCATTGAACCATAATCATCGACTTGGCAAGTAAATGTGTGATCAAATTGTTCGAAATGTATAGCACAAATACATCACATATATTTTCAGATAATCTCCGTCTTCTAATAACGTTACCAAAATTTATAAAAAAGAATAATTGTTCTAAATTTTAGAACAGAATGTGCATTCTGATCTCTCCTTACAAAGCTGACGACTGGGATAATAGGATTCTTCAAATGTATCTCAGCTAGTAACATCCGAATGCTTGAAATACTTCAAAAATTGTACTGCAGCCCTATAGTCTTACACCATGTCTAACCATGTCAGAGTGAAGAGGATGCTCGTTGATAGCATTGGTTGACGGTGGTGCTATATTGGATGCATGCATTGACAGAAGTTAGCAGTCCTAAGTCATTGAATTCTAACTTATCGGACAGTCAACTGACTAGCATTGTAATCTAAAGATCTCGAGTTCAATCCAATGTGGGGTCAGGGGTGTGTACTGCTGAAGAGTCCCAAAAGTAGGAAGAAACAGCTATCCAGTACTTCCTGACATTTTTTTAATCATTCTCTAAATGACGGCGGCTCAGGCGTTTCCCATATTTCCAAACTGAAATGGATGTTTGGTTAGTCTTAAGGAGCCACCCATCCCCAAGTCCTTGACTTGAAGTCTGATTCACAGTGCGGAGGGACAGAGTTCGCATGATGGCCGGTGACCAAAACAGATCCATATACCATCCAATGCTTCGGTATTCGAGAGCCCTTGTACACCGTATATTTGGAATCAGGCTTCTCCAGCTCCTCTCCTAGGTAGACCTGCATGTCTACTAGTCCCTGTTGTAAGCGTCAGACATTCGCATTGACCCTCTCACTTTTGTGAGTAACAACCGCCCCCGGGAAGACAGTAGTGAACTAGAATTGCCTGACAGAAGCTATGTCTGTCTGTTTTCGATATAGAACTTTGCACCGATGTGCGGAAGTTCAAGTCACCAGACTCCATGTATCACACAAAGCAAAAGAAGAAAGTATAAATTTTTTTTATAATTTTATTACAGCTTGATTCCACACAGTACTTTTTGGTGGAAGTATGGAATTTTCAGCATGTGATACCGGTAGCCCAAATTTCGCAGGCCGACCATTGATACCAGGCAGGGAATCGAACCCCGCACCATGTGTATGGTCGGCGAGAGTCCTAACCACTGTGCCACCGACACACAATGAATAATAGAGGCAGTAGACAGAGGTTTGAGACAAAGGAATAGTGATAACGAAGAACAATATAGTTTCGTTGGAAATCAGAAGTCCCAAGGAGTGGATATATCTGCAGCAGCCATTTAGATTGATTTTGAGCCATGTCACCAATTGTTTCCAACCATTGGTTTTTACCGTTGGTGAAGCCATGTTTTGGTTTGACCGCCGCTAGCTCTTTTCTAGCCTGATCGACCCTATGTCAGCTAACATTGCCCGTTGTCGAGGAAGGCGATGACTAGGCATACGTAACACATGTCCTAACCATCTCAATCGATGTAATTTCACATCCCCGTCGATTGATTTCCCCTACTTACCTAGAACTCAACTGAAGCCTAACCTTAATATTGCTCGCTTTATTATACCACTTCAAACTGGAGATAGAACGCAGGCACCTATGAACAAAGACAGCTAATTTTTTGATGTCTACCACTCTCAATGGCCAGGTCTCACAGCCATAAAGGAGGACGGAGCGGACTGATGAGCAGTACACACACCCTTTGGTCGATAGCCGGATATCACACAGATATCACATGCGTACAAAGCTTCTGTTATGAAGCTATGTACGCGTGTCCACATGAGACAGAGCATCTAGAGAGGAAGACTAAAGGCTAGCCACCACCCTCAGCTGTACCAACTCGTTTATGGAGGGAGGCGGCTCTTACACAAACTATTTAGTGTAGATACAAAGTTTAGCGCTATAAATAAATGTTAAATATGAATATATAAAATTAGCATTCACTTACATCTTGTGATTGAGAATTCAATGCAATAAATCCACCGCCGTGTATATAGAACAATAAATATGGAGATCTTTTAACACTTGATGATGATGATGATGAACTATCCTCATTCCCTGTAGAATTTAATCCTCTAAAATTAGCATATGAAAAACGTCGACGATAGCTAGAAGGAGTTGATATTTTCGATGCTGCTAACGAAGATGTATTCAAAGAATTTCTTGGTGAAAATAACCCAAAGGTAGGCAACTGGACTGAATTCGATCGTGGATGACAATATTCTTGTATTTTATTATGCTCAGGGGATTGTGAATACAAGAAGTTGGGTAATTCATTGCCACGTGTCCATTCTAAACCAGGTCTAAGATGACGACACAATACACGCATTTGTAATGGTGTTATACCGATATGTGATTTAGGCGTTTCTATGTCAACAAATTCTAAAAGAAAACAACAACAGAAAAGAAGACAAGAGAAGAGTAATGAAAATCTCAGAGGAAAATGATGCTCAGGAAGGCTTCTTGTGCTTTTGGAAGTGTGTGGGCGGTTGTTACTTCCCGGCTGCCCACACCGTGGAAGTTGCCTGATTCTTCGGGTACCTGAAACAGAGAGAGAGGGTTAGTGTTGCGTGACCACAGAGCCCAGGGGACAACTGCTTGAGGCCGGTCACACACGACCTGTACGAACTAGTTACTTGGTTTGCTTCCGTGTTCGTAAACTTACCGCCGGTTACGGACCACCATAGGGTAAGTCGGGATGTACAATTTTTGGGGTCGACCTTTTCTAACCCCTCTCTCCAGAGTGGAGAGACAGTGTAACTGGCTACCATGCTAGTCATCTGAGGGAAACACCTCACTGCTGTTACACCCCTGTTCCCCAGCAGTACGACTTCGTCCACAGACCCCCAGCATAGTGTAAGAAAAATTTTTACACTATGCCGGTAACTGCTTTTAGTTTAACCACAATCCTGACAACGTTCTTGGCATAGTAGACCTGCAGGAGCATTGGTTCCAGCCAGTGTAACGTGTTGGGGAAAGGAAATGAGAGATCGCTAGAGTGATTGCATTTGCGCATCAACGATTGAGAACGATTTTGAACCATATCACCAGGAGTTGTCGCCAGCCATTGATTCTTAGCATCCTGAGGTCCACAAACAAGTAGTTTATATCTCCCAACTTGATGAGTCAGTAGCACAGCGGTTATGACTCTCGCCGACCGACCATGCACATGGTCCGGGGTTCGATCCCCTGCCGATGCACACCTGATATCTATGGTCGGCCTGCAAAATCCGGGCTATCGATATCACATGTTGAAAATTCCATAACTGTAATCCAAATCAACCCCGTGTCAGCTACCGTCGCTAGTCAGGGAAGGCGGCGGCTTGGCATGCATAACAAGTGTCCTATCCATCTTATTCGGCGTAGCTTTACAACCGCATAGACTGACTTCGTTGCCTCAACCCCTAACCTCATTATTATTCATCATACTATATTTATTTTTTTTATTGTAGCTTGACTTCACACAGTATTTTTGATACAACTATGAAATTTTTAGCATGTGATATCGGTAGCCCAAATTTAGCAGGCCAACCACTGGTGTCAGGTGTGCGTCGGCTGGGGATCGAACCCCGGACCATGTGCATGGTCGGCGAGCGTCCTAACCGCTAACACATTTTACGCGAAGATACAATGCAAACATTTGTGATTAATGACAGTTACCTTTCTCATATCTCCCACTTTCAATGGACAGAGTGAACTGCTACTCAGCACATATGTCCTTCGACTGAAAGCCGAATATCATGTTTACGCCAGAGATGGAGTAAGTTGGCGAATCCCATGCGAGCCTTTTATATCCATGCTGAGATTCCGTCAGTAATCAGCCCGTTGGAGCTGATGGAACTTTCCGAATGACTTAAGTCGTCAGTACACTCTACCACTTCATTCATTTCTTCTCTTTAAACTAGGAGTCAGTACAGACCAGTCCTACAGCATTTTACATTTAGTAGGAGCCGGCGAATACATACTTCCACTAATTCCCTACAACTTCTATAATTTACACATATTCATGTAAAAAGGCGAGGAAAAATGTTACTCAACAACTACTTGTATTTCAAAGCAGCTGGCAATGACCTACACCGGTTATTTGCGGGCTAGTGATGCTACTACTTACCTGCCCACCAAAACCTTGGTTCAAACCTGCAATCCGGTGATCGGAAGTTAAGTGTCTAAGCGCCAATGCGACGACAACATCACATGTCCGTAAGATCTTGATGGTTAACTTATTTTATCACTGTGTCGCCCGCTTTCGACTAATCGAATTTCTATTTTTGCTGACATCCGGTGTTGTATTCTATCAGGCCAGGTATATCGAACGAGATGATTGAGAGAAACGTACTACGCATGTCAAGTCGTTGCCTTCCACGTTGAGTAATGTTAGTTAACACCTACATAGGATTACATTTGAAACACGTTAGGCTCATGTAGCTAGCCAGAAATCGTGTGGTTTAACTTGATTCGACTCTTTGAGCTGAGTTGAACCGGGTATGCCACTGATAGGTTCAGCACTAAACGGGTGAAACGACCATCCGGTGTCTAGATCGCTTTGATCTGTTTGGCTGTGAAGTACAACCGGTTGATTGACGTGAGTGATGTACAACTACTACTCATTTCAACCAATCAGTAGTATATAGTATAAGAGTTACAAGTGGTCAATTCCAAACTTGACAACAATCTATCAAGTATTTTTGATTGGACACTAGTAACTAGTGTAGTGTGTCTAGTCCTTTCTTTGTTTGGTGCAGACTGAATTTTATCAGTCAGGTTTGTAGTGTGGCCACCATTCTAGGTAGCTCGCCATCACGGTGCACATTGATTTGATGATATTAGGTGGTTGGAAGCAATCGGAAGGAAGTCTTGGACCTAGGTTTCGTGCTAGTTGGCACTCACCAGTCAGAAAGGCGTATCTGCAACCAACTTGAAGGAGCTCACGTCCCTTCTGAGATTCGAACCCGCGTCACCCAGTAACAGCTGCAGTCGGAGACGTTACCAAGGTCAAGCAAGACTTCCTACCGATTGACTCCAACCATCTAATATCATCAAATCAATGTGCACCGTGATGGCGAGCTACCTAGAATGGTGGCCACATTACAAACCTGACTGATAGAATTCAGTCTGCACCAAACAAAGAAAGGACTAGACACATCACACTAGTTACTAGTGTCAAATCAAAACATCCACTAGAGTCCTACAGGAGGTCAATAGCGAGCCCGAATAGCTCAGTGGTAACGTCCCTGACTGCAGGTGTCACTGGGTGACACGGGTTTGAATCTCAGAAGGGACATGAGTTCCCTCAAGGTTGCAGATACACCTTACTGACTGACTGGTGAGTGCCAACTAGCACGAAACTTATGTCAAGCAAGGCTTCCTGTCGATTGCCTCCAACCACCCTATATAATCCATCAAGTCTTTGACTGTTGCTTTGAGTCATATAGGCGGAGGGGTGTAGACCAAGTGGTTGGAGTCCTCGGGGTGCTAAGATCCGAATGGCTGAAAACTGTAGGTGGAATGGCTCAAAACATTTCTCTCTCAATGGTGCAGATGCACTCACCTTCTGTAATCTTTGAGATTCCCACTATTATTATTATTATTGTATCCTTTAGTTCCTAGAGGAACATAGGGATTCAGCTGCGCACCTCCATTGCCTTCGGTTTTCTGACAACTTTTTCACCCCGCTCCAGGTCTGTCCACATGCTTTCATCTCCTCCTCGCATGACCTCCTCCAAGTCACCCTTGCATTGACGACCCACTCGCCGCCTCCCTTTCGGGTTCCACTCGAGCAACGGCTTGTCTAGTGATGTCACTTGATGGTTTCCTCAGCGTATGGCCAATCCATCTCCATTTCTTTCTGCCTATTTGTTTCACAATCGGTTCCTGATTGGTTCGCTCCCAGAGATCCCTATTGCTGATCTTTTCTGGCCATCTGATCTTGAGTATTGTGCGGAGACAGCTGTTAATGAAGGTCTGAAGTTTGTTTGAGATGCTCTTTATGACTCGCCAAGTCTCTGATCCGTATAGTAGCAGTGACTTTACATTGGAGTTGAAAATCCGGATCTTATTTTTGATGCTGAGTGCTGTTGACCTCCACACAGATTTGAGAGTAATGAAAGCTTGTCTTGCTTTTCCGATTCTGGCTTTGATGTCCTCGTCAGTTCCGCCTGTAGTTGAAACGATGCTTCCCAGGTAGGTGAGGGAGGTTGTTTCTTTCAGGTTCTTCCCACTTATGCTGATTGTTGTCTGTTGTTGTTGTTGCTGTTGGCTAGGAATCTTCATCATCTCTGTTTTATCTATGTTCACTTGAAGTCCTATCTTTGATGCTTCTTCTGCCAACTTGTTACTTTTCACTTGCATATCTTCCAGTTTATGGGAAATCAGACATATATCATCGGCGAAATCCAGATCCTCCAAGTCTTTTGTGTCAGTCCATTTTATGCCTGTTCCCTCGTTGGTTGCCGTTGTCTGTCGCATTATCCAATCGATTGCAATCAGGAAGATCATTGGTGATAGTGGACAGCCTTGCCTCACTCCCATCCTCACTTCGAAGGCCTCCGTAAGTTTCCCGTTGTGGATTACTTGGCATGCAGCATTGTCGTATAACTGTTGGATGAGATGTATAATTGTTGATGGGACCCCGTAGTAGCGAAGTAGTTTCCAAATGACCTCTCGATCGACGCTGTCGAAGGCGTTTTCCCATAAAGTTTTCTTATTATAATTACTCCATGTGATTATTCTCTCTCTCCCGTATATTCCCCCATTCATTTTACCTCTTTCAAATATCTTCTTTGTGTGCTATATGCAATGTGACCAGTTGGACTGGTACACTTATGTACAAAGTTCTTCACTGAAAATTGAGAAAGTCAGTTTATGTCAGGCACTAGGCCGTTCACTCTGTGCTGTGTTTTTGACACGGTTGATTTACTTTTTTGTGTGTGACAGTCATTGATTCCAATATTACAGTAGAAGAAGAGGTCAATTTAATAGGGATCATTTTTATAGGTTAATGAGCTTCCACATGAAATATTCTTTATATATATATGAGAGTGTATTTTATTTTTAATATTCTTCAATCCTAGAAGTTTCAAGGACGTTTGAAGAAAAGGAAATTTATTTCCACCGAGTTTCCAGAAAAACGGAAAACATGTGTCACTGGAAATTCCTTATAGGATATCTCTGACAGTCCAGTGAGGAATTATTATGAGTTTTTCTTTTTATCACTGACCCAACATAGATGGCACCTATATTCACCTAAATTCGGGGCACAGATGAGGGATTTCGAAGCCAGACCAGGTTCGGTAAAGCAAGGCAAACTTTCGTTACTCTTAATTAATCAGTGCAGAAATCCACTGCACTTAGCATAAGAAAGATTCACATTTTCGACACATCGTCAAGTTAGTGACTTGGATAGTCATGAAAACTATTTCCAACAGTCAGCTGCCGACCTCCATTAATGCTGACCTTCGCTCTATTCTGAGGAGCCGACTACCAACTGGAAAGGATCAGTGACAAGGAACTCTGCCAACGAATCAACTAAGAACCTGTTGGCCAATAAATATGCCAAAAGAAGTGGATATGACTAGGATAAACGTTGGGGAGACCGTTGAGTGACCACCCCACGAGCCAGGTCATCAGTGGAACACAGATGGGAAAAGACGAGTTAAGCATCGAAGGGTGACATGGATGAAATTATAAAAGGAGAAAATGAAAGCCTATGGGTAGTTGTTGAGCCAGCTAGAGAAAAAGACTGCAGAGAACAGAGTGAAGTGATGTACACTGCTAAAGTCATGTGTTCCACCACTCCGAGCACGAATACAGGGGGCTCGTTTCGCATTTGCCAGTTTACGCCGACTCTGGCGTAGACGAGATGTTCGACTATCGACCAAAGGGCGGGTGTACTGCTCATCAGTCCACTCCGTCCTCCTTTATGGCTGTGAGACCTGGCCATTGAGAGTGGAAGACACGAAAAGATTAGCTGTCTTTGATCATAGGTGCCTGCGCTCGATTTCCCGTGTAAAGTGGCATAACAAGGTGAGCAATATTTAGGTTAGGCGTCGAGTTCTAGGTAAACAAGGGAAATCAATCGACGAAGTTGTGAAGTTACAAAGACTGAGATGGTTAGGACATGTGTTACGTATGCCAAGTCATCGCCTCCCTCGACGAGCAATGTTAGCGGATATAGGGTCAGGCTGGAAAAAAAGCTAGCGGCGGTCAAACAAAAACTTGGCACCAGTCAATGAAATCCACAACAGTTAGTCTAAGCCACGTAGGAAGGTGTAGACTTCCAGGCTGGGGTCCTCGGAACGGTAAAAATCTATGTTTGGAAACAATTGGTGACATGGCTCAAAATCGTTCTCAGTGGCGCAGATTCATCCACTCCTTGTGACTTATGATCTCCAATGAAACTGTTTTGTTCTTCGTTATTACTCCTCCTTTGTCTCACACCTCTGCTCATTGTTTCTATTATGCTTTTCTTGTACTTTCTTCTCTTGCTTCGCGTGCTACACGGAGTGTGGCGACTTGAACTGGTGCACATTTGTGCAAAGTTCTATGTCGAAAACAGACAGACAGACTCCGAAACCCAAGGCTATAATGATAATGTAATGACAATCTTACGAGGTAGATTAATATATGTGTACAACTTAGTTACTGTGGTAGTAAGTAATTCCATATTAGTTTGTTTATTAGATATATCACACAGTGAAACACAGTATTATTTACTGGATGACAGTGTTTCAAAAACACAATTTATTGTTCATAATCATTTCATCAATTATAATCACTCGACTTCGAAACTTGAGTTCTATAGTTTTCTTTGTCCTCTTCTATTTGCCATCCTTGGGGTAGCAGAATTTTCCAGATTTCTGGAACAGGTGTTGAATCATTCCTATCACACGTACACTCTTCAGTTGATTCGATAAACAAAGCTTCTGTTATTAACTTCTCCCTCCACCCTGCCGGTACATTAGATTTTAAAACTGTCATCCTATCCCACCCATCCTATTGTATGGTTGTGTGTAACTGCATGTAGTGCTATACCTGAACTATTCTCTAGATTTCTTATCTTATTTGGGTCAACCAATCTAGATTTTGCTAGGTTTTTATGTTCGACTAGTCTGACTGCCCCTGTTCTACTACAGTGATCTATGTATTTGACCTGACAATCATTGCAGGCGGGGTATTAGATAAACTAAATTGTTTTGTTTTAAAGGCTCCACAGGATTGATCCTTTAACCGAAAAAGCTTGTTTCTAATTAAGTTTGGGTTTAACTCCCAAGCCATCGCCTTCTATGGTCAAGCAATGTTAGTCGATATAAGATTAGGCTGGAAATCAGTTACAGATGGTAGGATCAAGACAAAGCATCAATGCATAAAATCCTTGAATATTTCTTTAAGCAACGCACAGAAGTTTATTGTATGTCAGTAGTTGAATGCTAGAATGTTTGCCAGCCCCGCGATGGGTCCAGACGAGATTTCCGGTCACCAACGCACTCCTGAACCTCAACATAGTCGGTAGTAGGCCCACAAAACGAATGAAAGTTAAAGGCGTGAGAATAATAGACCCACCCGTAACAATAACTAACGCCACTGCTACTGAAACTTCAAGTCTCTAGCTTGAAGTAGCCCTATGTTCCACTGGGAACATGAAAGAATTAAAAACAGAAAGAGATCATGGGTCACTGGATCCTCATCTCAATGGTTGAGTGGTCAACGGTCTCACCTCACAAGCTAAACGTCCCAAGGTACAAACTCTAGTGGGTGATGAGTGAAAAGTCTCAGACTAAAAACAGTTATCCATCCAGTCCCCCTTGATTTTCAGTGGTTCTCTAACTGATGTCCGTTCCTGATTCAACCTGATACCAATCAAATTCCTTTACACTAATAATTGAAAACTTTAAACCTAACGTGACTGGCTGGGTTTCAGCATAGAATTTGTACAGAAGTTCAGAAATGCATGTAACCACACTCCATATGTGCGGGGTGGTGGGGAGGGGGGGAAGATGACAGTTTACAGGATGTAGAGGATTACAAAGGAAGGAGTGAATGCATTCGCCCTATTGAGATAAATTTTGACCCATATCACTAGTAGTCTCCAGCTAATGGTTCTTAGCATTACGAAAACCTTTTTCGATAAATTTCTAAATTACTTAAAATCTGCATTGAAAGTTAACTTAGAACTTTGCTTCATTGGACTAGGCATACAACTGCCATAGAGTGAGGGTGGGGGGGCTGGGAGTTAGGACCTTGAAACTTACTCCAGGCCAATAGAGGTTTAAGTTAGACAGGTTAGCGTCACCAGCTAGTAGCTTATTTTTAGACACATTAACCCATATGTTTTCGACCCTTACTTGGAGATAATTCTACTCAGCATGTGATCAGTTTTAAAATCAATCCAGATTTCTTTTATTATTTTTTTTTAAGTGTATATACCTTGATCATTCCCTTGATTTTGATTATTTGAAAGCATTTTTAATGGTATTGTTTGAATTTTGAAAGAATGAGCCACAGCCATAGACGGTAAAATGACATTGGGACCTTCAGATACGACGCGTAGTTCTGCCAGACTCCAAAACATTTTACAGAATTGTACACTGGAGTTCCGTGTGAGCTTTGCCAACATCTTACCACGATCCTCTGGAGATAAATACGATGTGACAGATCGATAAACTGTATTCACTAAGCTTGCTATACCCTGTTTGCTGGTCTGAAAGAAAAGTTAAACAAAATATGACGTATGTTAATCACAATTCCCAATTTTTAAGATATTTTAAGTGGTACTATTGATATTTATTGAAATAAAAACTTGGCACATTATGAGTACCACGTGATGCGCCACACAAAATCTCAAGGTTTGTGCCAGGGTTCGGATATCGTCCGGATGCCCAGGGGTAAATCCGCAGCCTTTGACTTAATCCACAAGGTAGTGGAGCGACTTCAAAAATTGGATTTCTACGGTTTCCGGTGTCCGAAACAAGATAATACTCCGTGCAATCCGTCCGCATTCTGCAGCCCATGTGCATCATAAGTTTGAAATCAGCGTCTTCCAGCTCCCCTAGGCAAACCAGTGCGTGGCACAAGTCAGGTTCTAGGCGTCAGAGGTTCGCATTCGCCGTTTCATTTTTGTGAAGAACACGGTGTAAAATAATAATGCACAAAATTTCCTGGAATACACTATATCATTAGGATTTTGAAGTAGTGCAGAAGGTTTGTAACATAGGTGGATACTTTTGATGTTACTATGTTTTCCGAGCCAGATGGTTTCCAAAATTTTGGAAGAGCTGGTGTTAACGAACCAGCACGATTTCCTTATATCAACATTACTTAAACCAAATGACCTAACATCGAAAGAAGGTAAAAACCGATGTCATCGATAAAAACAGACTGCATCAACTGTGAAAACCAATATACCGTTCAAAACGAACGTCTCCTTTATCTTTGCATCCATGAACATTATTATTCCTTTGTGTTCGGAGTGAAATATAGGGCCATATGGTTGTATCTACTTCTGTGGTGAGAGCTGGCTGCTAGCCGAATTGATAGACAGTAATTCACGTCAATGTTTATGTCCTCAATATTCGTCGTGAGAAAAATATGAACAAACACTGATTCAACAACCAACCACAGCAGACTTTGTTCGCGTAGGCGGATACAGTTAGCATATAGATGATCTGACATTCAAGAAACAGCCACGAAGAGATGAAAGATTAACTTTCAGTGAGAAACAACCAATCAGAGGGCTGTGTTTGTCTGCTACCGATAATCTATAATAATGTACATGAAAATCTATAAATATGTGTTGATTTCGTAAATAAACGATCTGTTGCCTGGTCCTTGCCTTCTGTTGTTACACTTCTACTGTTATCGAACTTCTCGTTGACCTTATATTTGACATCTTAGTCATATGACCTTTTTTTATTTATTGATAAACTTAATCTATGTTCACGTGTATTAACTGCAAATTGAGTTGATGAGTACCAAATGTCTAGGGATTCTCCGGCGTTCCCCTCTGTCTAAGATTTTTAAATCCAGTTGATCTGACGTATGTAGTTTTTTAACGTGAACCAATATGAGAGAATGTATTACGTGTCTTTCAAATGCCAGTATACGTTTAACTCTGTGCCTCAATTTCATCGAATTTCAAAAGACCTTTAGGAGTGCCAGCCGTGAACTAGAGAGGAAACTTCTTCAAAACGATGGAGTGTAATGCTGTGAACATCTATAAAAACCTTATAGTGACGATACCACGTGCCAAGTAATTCACAACGGAAAGCTCAAATGAAAATTTTACGTGAATACAGGAGTAAGACACAGCTGCCTACCATTACCGATGATATTCTTGATTACAGTGAACTGGATCATGTAACAGAGTTACAAAAGATCCTAGAAGACCTGGACTTTTAGGATTAATTTATATCTGATGCCACACAAACTTGTCAACAAGTTGGCCAAAGAGGCAGCGAAGACAGGACTTCGAGTGGACACAGAAAAGACAGAGGTGATGAAGATACCTGACTTCCAATAATAACAAGTCATTTCTTTCAATTACCTCACCAAGGCAGCATCGTCTTAACTACAGGTGGCACTGATGAGAATGTCAACTAGGATCGGAAAAGCATGTCAGACATTCACTAATTTACCGTCAATGTATAAACCTGCTACACTACTCAACATAAGGAACAAGATCCGGATCATCAAAGATAATGCCAAATCAGAGTTTCCATACAGTTCAGTTCAACTGGGACAGTTTAAAAATCTTAGAGAGAGAACACAAAGAACGCTACAGAATCCCTAGATGTCAAATACTCGTCAAATTAATTTGCAATTAATAGACATGTGGATATTGTATTAAATTTATCAATCAATAAGAAATAGGTAGAAATTACTAAAATGTTAAATATCAGGTTAATGAGAGTATCAGAAGAGACAAACCTTCCTCTCTCATGAAGAATTCCCGAAACTGACTTCACTTTGACGTTAGCACTGGAGATATTATCTAGAAGCCTAACGAGAGCTTCGCAGTTAAACCCTACACGGCTCAGTATTAACATCCTCTAGCCATTATATTATACTAATGCGTCCATTTGTGGATTTTCACCCTAGCTTAGATTGGTGATTTTTTTCTCGCAATTCATTAGGACGCTTTCCTTCTTGGGAGCACCACAATTATCATTATTCTGTTTATAAACTAAATTAAATTAAACCCTAGAATAATGCTTAATAATTGTATTCCAGATTTCAAGTTTAGTTATATATCATTTTGCCATTTCAAATTTGACAGCTGGTCTATATATGTTAAGAATTCGCAGAATTAATTGTAAAGTTAATTAAGCTAATCAGAGGTACTGCCAAAGATTATTCATGAAGTAATTGGAATATCATAAAACTTCGACAGCGTCGATCGAGAGGTCATTTGGAAACTACTTCGCTACTACGGGGTGTCATCGACAACTATGCATCTCATCCAACAGTTATACGACAATGCTGCATGCCAAGTAATCCACAACGGGAAACTTACGGAAGCCTTCGAAGTAAGGACGGGAGTAAGGCAAGACTGTCTACTATCGCTAATGATCTTCCTGATTGCAGCAGATTGGATAATGCGACAGACAGTTAGCGGAAAATGAGGAAACGGCCATAAAATGGACCCACTTTTACAAATCACTTGGAGGATCTGGACTTCGTCTGTGATGATATATGTCTGATTTCCCACAAACTGGAAGTTATGGAAGTGAAAAGCAACAAGTTGGCAGAAGAAGCATCAAAGATAGGACTTTGGGTGAACATAGAGAAGACAGATGTAGGTGATGAAGATTCCTGGCCAACACCAACAGCAACAACGACAACGACAGACAACAATCAGCCAACATAAATGGGAGGAACGTGAAAGAAACAACCTCCTTTACCTACCCACCTGGGAAGCATCGTTTCAACTACAGCCAGGCGGAACTGACGAGGATATCAAAGCCAGAATCGGAAAAGCAAGACAAGCTTTCATTACTCTCAAATCTGTGTGGAGGTCAACAGCACTCAGCATCAAAAATAACATCCAGATTTTCAACTCCAATGTGAAGTCAGTGCTACTCACTATACTTACTTTACTTCGGCTATCTCCTACGGGAGGATGAGCCGGCTTCATGAACGTCTCGAATCATCGCTGCCCAGGCGCGGCGATCTGAAGCAAGGTTTTGCGATAGGGATATCCAATTCTTGTTCCACATACGGAGTCCGTAGACGGTTTGTAGCCCCAGGCACTCCATATCTGCCTTGACTGTACCAAGCCATGTCTTCATCTGTCCGCCCCTGCGACATCGCCAAGATGGTAATGGCGAGGGATTTAAAACTGATTTGACCAGATCGTCATCTGGTCGGTGCAGAACATGGCCAAACCACCGAAGGCGACGTTGTTGGCCCAGTGCTGGAATTTGGTTGAAGTTGTAGCAACGACGACGCACTTCTTCGTTGGAGAGTTTGTCCTGCCAACGAACATGCAGAATGTACCTGAGACACCAATGGTCTAATACCTCGAGTCTGCGTAAATCTTCCGCGCGAAGAGGCCAGGTTTCACAGCCATACAGGAGAACGGGTCGTATGGAAGCTTGGTAGACCCGAATTTTAGTCCTGAGACTGATTTATCTCTTGCTCCATAGAACGCTCCTCAGCTGTAGAAACGCATTCCGGGCGTTGGAGATTCGCGCATTCACTTCGTTTTTCGCTTGGCCGTTGGGGAGCATTATGGATCCCAGATATCTGAAGGATGGCACAATTTCAATAGGTGCTCCATTTAGGGATAAGATTTCATCATTGCTGGTGAATGTGTTCGAAAACAATTTGGTTTTGGAAGTGTTAATTTTTAATTTTTTTTAATTTGCTACTCACTATACGGATCAGAGACTAGCACTGAGCGTCATAAAAAGCACCTCAAACAAACTACAGACCTTCATTAACAGCTGCTTTTGCTCAATACTCAAGATCAGATGGCCGGCCAGAAGAGATCAGCAATAGGGATGGATCTCTTTGAGCGAAACAACACGGCAGAAACCGATTGTGCGACAAATAAGCAGGAAGAAATGGAGGTGGATTGGCCATACGCTGAGGAAACCATCAAGTGACATCACTAGACAAGCCGTTGCTCGAGTGGAACCCGAAAGGGAAGCGACAAGTTGGTCGTCAATGCAAGGATGACTTGGAGGAGGTGATGTGAAGAGGAGATGAAAGCATGTGGGCAGACTTGGAGCGGGGTGAAAACGTCGGCAGAGGACCGAACGCAATAAAGACGCGCGGCTGAAGCCCTATGTTCCTCTAGGAATTAAAGGAAACAATAATAAAACTTTGCACAAAATCGGGCCTACACAAATTATCAGGCCTTATGTTAAAATATATCTAGGGAGTAAGCCACAGAGAAATGAAACAAAGAAATGATAAGTACATTTGTAGGAAGCTAACGAAGCAGGGAGTATATGTACTCAAAATATGTATGAAGCAAATTACATGCTGAACACTCTAATGCAATGATGCTAAAATTCTCAGTATGCATGCTTAACACCTTAGCAAATCTATATGGAAAACTAATGACTCGATTTAGGACTTTATACACAACCAATGCGTGAACTTACCAAAAAACTGTTCCCATATCCAGCCATTAAAGAATTCAAAAATTGTAAAATCCTTTGAGCACTTGGGCACAAGTAAAAAGCTAAACAACGACCGTAGAAATATTCCTGTTTTATATTATCTGACAGAGTTTCTAATCGATAAAACTCTGATAAATCCTCCAAGTATTGTTTTGAATCGAACTTTGCATTGGCAGTTTGGATCACAGTTAATGGATTTCTTATAATACGTTTTGTATCACAATGTCCAATCTCTGGTAAATCAACAAATTCAGAGCGAGGGAATAAACACAATGGATTAGCAAAGCGTGGTGAATTACTCAAAACTTCAAGACACACATTGAGCTCTATCAAGCAATTGACATAGGATATAACACTTCGATGGGTAATACCAGACCTGAAAGATTGAAAAAAGAAAGGATGATCGCTTGCAGTATTCTCAGTTACAACCGTGAAGAAAAAGATATTTCATACTACAATAGTAATTCTAAGCGGTGTCACAGATTATGCTGAATTAGATTGTCACTTAGGAACAAAAATTTCTAACCGCTTCTCTGTTCTTTAGCTGAGAGAAAACATTAGCTCTTACCAGCTCTTTAATACCTTCTTATATTTAGTGGTTCAAATCCATACTACATACACAGATTCGAAACACTGAACTAAACGTGCCTTTAGGTGTTCTTGATATAATCACAAGGGAGTGATACCTTTCACTGTAAAATTTAGGTTCCTCAAAATGACGCATTTGCTTATAAGATTTTGCGAGAGAACTATTACCAGAATTTAAGACAACTGGTAAAATGAAGTACTTCTTAACTTTATTAATGGTATGGAATGCAATATAAAGATTTGCTACGCACAAATGTGATTATGGTTATTTAGGCCAGACACATGAGTTGCGAGCTATATAAAATTATTAGCCATGACACGTGACTGAAAAATAACTGCACAACAGTATACATAAGTGCTGAATGGTATCACTCGCGAGATAAAATAAATCAAAAAGTTTTATAACATCAAAGAATGTTACGAATTAATCTATAAAAACCACATGCTGCCATGTGTGACCAATAACTGAATCACCAAAATATACACAGTATGCTTAGCCTCGGTATAATTAGGCAAAATATTGCTTATCACTTTAAGTACTACAAGTTAAGGCACTTCCACACATTTAATTATTGACACTATTTTCGGCGTTTTTATCCTGTTAAAAGAACTATCAGCTAATGATTGAGGTTGCTATTAAACAATGTTTCTATTCCTATAAAAATCCAGAAAACTACTATTAATTCACACCACGCCTTATTGTGCTCTTGAAGTTTCCTAATGAACCCCATAAATGTGCAAATATATGAGGTAGATAGGAAAAGGTGATGATTAATTTACATCAGCTGCATTGAAAAATACACTGAAAAGTCTCAAGTCTATTTCCGCATGAAAAATGATAATGATTGACACACCTAACTGAAACTACAGTGTTAATCTTTACTTACCACTTGGAGATAGAGTACGAACTCATCTGTCGAAGATATGTTAACAATACAGCACAACATCTCATTGTGATAATCAAGAAACTCCGAATCCCATTAGCCCGCAATGAGCCAAAATCATAATCGCTAGCGATGGAGTACAGGTACTTGATTCGCGCAGAAAAGCCAGATTCCAGTAATGTATGAAGTTTCTTTAAAGTGTACACAACATCCGTTTCTGATTGCGCATTTTCATAAAAATCATCATCTGAAGGACTGCTGGCACGAATAATTGCAAGGTATGTTCTGCACTAACAAAGTGGGCAATTTAAATAAATAAACAATCCTACTTGTAAATGCAGTTCTGAACACAAACGGACCATTTGTGCACAATCAGAACTATCAAGTAGTTTTTTGCGGTCATCTTTAAGTAATACATTATCACAAACTAAGCATAAATACTTACCGTTTGTTGGACTCGATAAGTTCATCTTTCTATCCAAATTAGGCTTATTACTAGAGAATCGGACGTAATCAGGAGACTAAATGATTTTTATAAGGTGCTGAAATGTTTAAACCTCATAGTAAACTCTTGGTTCACCAAGATGAGATGCCATCAACTTAGATAATCGCCTACATTCCGAAAAAACCAAGCGAGCGCCAGAGGTTCTATACATATGACCTCAAGAATTTAGATGATTCAAAGTTATATTCAGTTCAGAGTATTTAGAATTGAGATCGTAGATATTAGGAATTCGACGTTATTCTCGGTAATTAAAATCTTGCTAAAAGGCTTAACCAAGTGGGATGTCACTAGCAGCTACTGGAAAAAACGTATTCACTGACCTAGTCACCTCTCGTTTTCCGTATCCTGATTGAACCTGGTATCATTATTCATGCCATCTGTAGTTAAAATAATGCCACCCAGATAAGTGAAATAGTACGATTATATTGGCGTTTCTGCCACTGATGATGATCGGTGCTTGTTGTTGTTGCCTGGGTGTCCTGATCCTGTCTGCTCTACGATCACATGAAATCCATTTTTCGCTGACACCTCTGTCTACACGTTAATTTTCGCTAATTGGTATCAGAGTTTGTGAAGCAATAAACATAAATCAGCCGTGAAGTTCAGATCTTTTAGGGTCTTCTCACTCTTAACGCTTTTCAGTTGACCCAGTTCATCAACGGGTGAGTCAGTGATCTACTCCTGTCACCCAGAAGATAACCACACGCACACCGAGGGCGTGGCTATCATGATGTCACCAACGGCAACGAAGGCCTTGATGCAATAGGAGGTGATCTCGTTCAGGATAATGACCGCCAGATTCAACTCCAAAGGAAGGAAAGTGTCAATTATGCAATGTTATGCACCAACAAACAACGCAGACCTCGAAAAGAAAGAAAAATTCTACAGACAACTACAGGCAACAATGAACAATACTCCAGCTGGCGACATTAAAATACTAATGGGGGACATGAACGCCAAACTGGGACCAGACAACACAGGAAGGGAACTCATTATGGGTAGAGCAGCTCTCGGAGAAATGAATGAAAACGGAGAACTCTTCGCCGACTTCAACGCCTTCAACGAACTAGTGATTGGTGGCAGCGTATACAAACACAAACATATCCACAAGGCTAAATGGGTCTCACCAGATGGGAGAACCAAAAACCAAACTGACTTCATCACAATCTCACGGAAGTGGAGGCGCAGCCTACTGGATACAAAAGTAAGGAGAGTGTGGTGGACCTTTTCACTCTATTAGCTTAGTTACCCAAATTCAAGTAGAAAATAAAATACCAACTGAGTTTAGTTACGGGAAGAATGTATTAAAGTTTGATTACTTGAGTTTACAAAGATCCAACTTCCACAATAAACGTTATAGACTCCAGGTGCTGCGGAAAGACTGCTCCAGTAGTAATTCTCCAATGTTAACGTTGGCGGAGGTCGAACAAAGTACGTAGGAAGAAACTACGGTGCTCCTGCAAAAATCAGAGATAGAAAGCAGGTGATTAGGATTGATCGACGGCAGTTGAGATGGTGGAGAAGACGGAGAGTCGAAGGCACAGCTGTATATTTATTCAAAACCCGAGGTAAAGTCAAAGTACAGAGTTTCTGGTTAAAATAAAGTGGTGTACAATATGTTCATTATTTACATAGTAGTAAAATTTGGATAAGTTTCTTTTTGAGGACTCCACAAGAGGAGCAGACGTTGGCTCAGACCACTTGTCAATGTAGTTGAAGATTGAACGATCAATTCATGGTTGTTTGCTCAAAACCTACCTCCCCAATTTTCGCGGAGGCAGCAATGCACCAGTCATCGTCTCATCGGTCGCTGTTCAGAAAGAAGTCAGGAGAAAACCGTCAGAAACCTTAGTTGTAATATTGGTTATATGATGGTGTTAGAATAAAAAATTCTCGAGTCGCCAAACTGGGTTCTGATTTTCGCGTCCGTTCGTACTAAGCGTTTCTGAGGAGCTTCGATGAACAGCGTGAGTCCCAGCGTAGCAAGAGCTGGGCATTAACGGTTTACGAGACCTGGCTGACAGTTTCTGACGGTGGAAACAGATTCTGACGGACTCAGACAGTCGGTGACAGTTTGGATAGTCACCGTTCATCTTTCCTGGTGCCGGTCAAGTCCTCTTTGAACAAGCAATATCTGGAACGTTTTTGGAATTGGGTCAAGTTCAACAATGCCTGGGTCAAAGAAGGGACAGAGTGTCTTGGATACAAACAGGAAAGTAAGTCATGGTGACTTGTCTGTTACTTGTAACGATGTGTCTAATGTTAAGCATGACATGGTTGATGTTACTGTTTCGCCGTTCAGGGATAATAGGAACATCAAACTCCCTAAATTTGAACCACTGTGTTTCGACGGAAACCCAGCTGATTATTTACAGTTTGTAAAGGAGTTTGAGATCATGCTGAGTAGTCTTTTATTAAGTAATGAATTAAAATTGATGTATTTGATGAGGTACTGCACTGGAGTTGCTTCAAGAGCTACACAATACTGTAAGTTCATGCCCCCTGATGAGGGATACGCTGAGGCTATGAGCATACTACGTCAAAGGTTTAGAAGACCTTCGATGATTGTAAGGAACGTATTCGAAGCTGTCAAAGGTAACGGTAGTCAACTACAAGATGACTCCGAGGCACTCCCTGAGTTTTTGGATAATCTGCTGACTTACAAGAATGCATTGATTTCGATGAATTGCATGAGCGACCTCAACTCGAGACGCCTACCTACTCGACTGCAAAGGAAGTGGGTGCAGATAAGATCACGTATAGAAGATGAAGGTATTGAGCCTAAGTTTGATGACGTTCTGAAACTGGTGAAAGATAGTGTCAATCAATCTATGAGCAAGTTTGCCAGTATATTGCAACCCGCCCCTAGAATAGAGCAGTCTGAGGGTAAAACGCAAGCATTGATGATGAAAGGGTCTCAGAGAGGTGGATATCAAGGAGGCTCCATGGTGCCTAGTAATGCATATAGACTAAGTGAGTGTAACAGCTTTCGTGGTACATTGTCAATAGATAAGTTACAAGATGCAAGACAAACACGGTTGTGTTTCACACGTTTGCAAGAAGTTCATACAATGATGAACTGTGAATCAGTGAGCAAGTTAAGTGATAAGCTATGTGTGAAATCAAGGTCTGACTCCGAATTGTGTGACGATAATAGCGCGGTGAAGAAGCCTGTAGTTGCAACCAGTAAGCCATTGTTGAATAGAATGCCACAGAAGAGAGTTACAGTTTCAGAGTCCAGCTCTGACTCCACAAGTTTACAAGGTATTACTATCTATAGTTTTGGTTTGTAAGGATTAGTTATGTTTTACGAGTTGATCACGGATTGATATCAGTTAGAGAACCATTGAAAACCAGGGAGTACTGGACAGCTGCTGTTTCATCCTAGTTTGGGAATCATCGGCAGTACGCACCCACTGGGTTTCGAACCCAGGACCTTCCGGTTACAAGGCAAGCTCGTATACCATTCAGCCACTGGGACCCGATTCAATGCCTCGTGAATTCTAACTTCTACCAATTCGTGATTTAGCGCGACCTCAACCATTGTCGTTGGTGGGACATCCATCCACACACGTGACATCTAATTGGACCTCACTGGTCACGACTTCTCACTAGAACTCAGGAAACTCCAACCTGTAGCAGGTCACTAGCGAGCATCAGATCAACTTTCTATAGTTTTGGTTTGTAAGGATTAGTTATGTTTTACGAGTTGATCACCGGAAGGTCCTGGGTTCGAAACCCAGTGGGTGCGTACTGCCGATGATTCCCAAACTAGGATGAAACAGCAGCTGTCCAGTACTCCCTGGTTTTCAATGGTTCTCTAACTGATATCAATCCGTGATCAACTCGTAAAAGGTATTACTAGTCAGAGTGAAGACATAAAACCTTTAAGGATTTGTGAGGAAGAACCAAAATTGTCTACTGCTGTTATTAAAGAGTTTGAAAATGATGAAGTCGACCAGATAGATGATGGTAAACTGAATATTTGTGATAATGATCATGATAGTGCAGATTTGTCTTTGGTTGATCATGATGAAATGAGGGGAATGCCAACTACTGCTAAGTTGAAAAAGGGTTCTGTACAACTTGAACGTGAAGTAAAATTAAATGCAGATGCAGTTGCAGAAGTTATGGATACTTGTGAGACCGTCGGTGTAATTGATCAGTGTGTAGCCCACTTATCATCAGATACTAGTAGTAAAGCGGAGCTGATAGTAAAAGACAGCAGTGGTGGTAATCTTGCAGATAGACAACTATCTGAAAGCCGAAAAACAACAGCTTCTGATCCACCGCTAAGTTCATCACCTTGTGTCACACAGTCGTCGCTGGTGTTTTCATCCACAATGAAATGGACGTCCATGAACTCACGTGCCTTATGCAATGACTATCATAGTATTGGTGCGTTTGAAAAGACGAAAGATATTGCTCAGTTTAGTGAGGATAAGCCAAGTGTAAACGAGAGAGTAATCGTTAAATTGACTTGCATGAATAAAGGCATTTCTAGTTTCAAGTTACTATTTGAATGTTATTATCTTTGGTGTAAATTACTCTGTGCCTACGCTTGGTTGACCAGATACGTCGTGTGTTTGTTGGTCATCTATATTCTACGATACAATGACATGAGCGTGTTGCCGTTCAGATTTGAGGATATAGCTGATAGAAGGAAGTCAGCAAATGAACTCTGCGACGATTTTCCAACCTAGAGCGTCAACCTGAGAAGGTTTGTAGGCGTACTGGTGTAAGTCCTGCAATTCTTCAAGGGTATTCCACCAAGACATGATCCGCGAGGTTATTGGTACTGTTCGTATATATGTGTGGTGTGTCATATCAATTTGTGATTTTGGATTAATTGTGTTCACTCGTTGTTTTCGTACCTTGTTTTTATTGCATAATTTTGTTAAAATTTGCGTCGTGATTACTTCTGAAGTTGTTTCGAGTCTTCTACATCCGTGAATGAACTGATTGATGTTAAAGACAGCAGATGGGTCGTATAAGCCGGGGAGGATATTGCTGAGAATGAAATGCACACGGAGATAATTGTTGGCTGCGGTGAGTAGATAATAATAATAATAATGTATATTCTCATATAAACATATAAATTTACATGAAAATGCACGCCATTTTTACAGGCACGATCAAGTATGATATAAT